ATCAACCATATTGATAAGCTAGACTTCCTCGAAGCCTACCCGTCCGCGCGAATCGAGGCATTTAAACCGGAGACTATTAAGAATAGCTTCGCTACCGCCGGTTTAATACCTTATAACCCCGATCGAGTGATCTCAAAGCTCGATATTCGCCTTCGAACCCCGACACCCCCCTCGAGCCGGGGAAGCGAGTGGGAGCCAAAAACGCCGTCGAACTACGTCCAATTACAAAAACAAGCTTCCTCAATTAAAGCTTTGCTAAAGCAGCGCTCAAAAAGCCCACCGAGCCCGCTTAATTCCGCGATAAATCAGGTTTTAAAAGCCTGCTAAATCACAATACAATCGGCAGCTATTCTTAAGAAAGAAGTAAGCGATTTACGCGCTAAGAACGAGAAGAAGAAGCGTAAAAAAGCTCGGTCTACAAGGCAGATAGCTCGAGAGGAAGGCCTATCAGTTTCAGAGGCTCTCGCGCTTATTCAGGTAGAAGAACCAGCAATTGAAGCCTCGTGAGGCAGGTCTAGCTCCGGCACCTTCTCAGCCGCGTACGGGGGCAAAAACGAAGTGTAGTGTATGTGGAATTCAGGGCCATAGAATGACTACATGTCCTAATAGACCTCGAGTATAGCTGATTGAATTTAATGGCGTTTTGGTTAAGATAATTGCATTTAAAGTGAATAGATAGTGGTGGGGTGGCCACTCGCTTGGGGTGGCCACTCGCATGTCAAATACGTTATTTGTCTTGTTTGTGGAGGCCTTGAGTCACCCGCGGGTGATCCTGAGGGTCACAGCCAGGTCTAGGCACTCGATCGGGTTAGGCGAAATGGAAGGGAAGCCACTTTGACATTGTTTTCGGCGCTAGTGGAAACAGGGGTGATAAGTGTTTTGAAGTTGACGAGAGGATGACTAACAGTGTTGGGCGGTCAAGCGGCGGCTCGACATCCAAAGTTACGGGTGGGAAGGCAGCTGTTTCTGGCGTCGAAACCGGTCATTTTCGGCGTCAATCCCACAGGTCCTCATATTCTAGGTGTAAAAAAGCAGGGCGATTTTGCAAGCTACTGTACTCTCCTACACGGCAGCGGTCATTTAAGTCGCTTAGCGCCTGTCTGTATTTATTGCGCGCAGTTTCTTTTCTACGGAGATGCTCCTACGATATCAATTAAGGACGATATTAACGAGGCTTCTTTAACCGTCTCGACGGCCACAGAAGATGTCCCAAGAGGCATTAACACACACCTAAGAACTATTTAGGGATATTAAGGTTTAAATGTAAGAATCTCGCAAACTCCAGTTAACTATGGTGTCTAATATCCATGATGTTCTTTCACTTGCACAAGGGCAAGAAGTGGCCATGAAAAAAAGAATTGTAGGTCCTAAGCGAGTTAAAAGGGAAACAGGCAACGCTCTATTACGGAACATAGTCCGCAGACGACAGGTGAGAGAACATGATAAACATGATGCTGTCTCGCCAAGGTGTCATCGGTAACCTCCCAATACGACGTTGACAAACACTTCGATCACACTGGTGAAAGTTCCGAGACCGTTGATAGGCGAAACGGATCCGGGACCATACATTTTGATAAAAAAAAGAGATCTATAGTTCCCTTGATTGCGACGGTCTTCGAAGAGTTCCATTGTGGGGACCGTTTTGCTGATCAGGCCTTTTCAACATCCTCCAGAGCCAACTCTGAATGCTTCGTATCTTCATTGGCCAATCTCTTGTCGTGTACTTCAGAAACAGAGAGTGTTCGGAGTTCGGAACGGTAACCAGGGCTCTTCCAAGCCCTCGGTTCATTTTCGTAGAGCTCATTAACCTGCTCAAGGGCCAACCCCTTGGTCTCGTAAATCATGGTGTATACGAACACGAATGCGATCCAGCAGAAGCTGCCCCAGATCCAGAATACATTGGACTGGGTTGGGCTGAGTGCTCCTGTGAGGTATGGAGTGATAAAAGAAAGAAGCCAATTGAAGAACCAGTTCGCAGCAGTGGTCATAGAAAGACCTTTGGCACGCGTCTGAAGCGAGAAAATTTCCCCCGTGACAACCCAAGCGCAAGGGCCAAATGTGGATGCTTTGCGGATGTTAGCAAGGATACCCTAGATCATTATAGTGTTCACTTTACCGAAAAACGAGACGTATATGCAAATAAAAGCGAACTGGGCGCATTGTGAAGTGAAATTCGAGATCGGAGTTGCGGCGCCGCAAGCCGAAACGATGTATTGGGAGATACCCATCCCAATGGCCCCGATCAGAAGAACTGGGCGGCGTCCGAAATGGTCAATTGCCCAAAGGCCTGGAAGCGTCATGACTACATTGACACAGTTCACGATCACCTGCAAGATGAAAGAGTCGGGCAGGCCTTCAACGTTCTCGGCGAAGTAACTCGTACCATAATAGATGATGAAATTGATACCGACCAGTTGCTGGAGCGATTGGAGTATAATTCCAGTAATAGTGCGTTTACCGGTAGTACCCTTGAAGCATTCAATGTACGAAGCAGAGCCAAGGGACTGTTCATACTCCCAGTTGCTCTTCAACTCTGCAAGCTCGGAGATAATATCTGGATCATCGGGATTCAAGCGACGAAGGAAAACCAACGATTTTAGGGCTTGGGCTTCATCGCCTTTTTTGATCAGAAAACGAGGGGTCTCTGGGAGGAAGAGCAGGCCTCCGGCCTTTTCCCAAGTCAGCTATAGATTCATTCGGATTGCAGTTTGCCAAGAGGGAAAGCTCACCAGAATTATTGCCCATGCGAATTGAATGGCAAGCGGGATGCGATAACTTCCTGCAATCGAGTTAGTTTCCTTTGATCATCTATCAGCCCGAACATGCATCGGAAAATACCGCTGTCGTTCCGGTGCTGGGTTGCCCAGTTCACAATAGCGGCCAAGAAAAGGCCAATTGTGATGCAGAGCTGGTAGCATCCCACAACTGCGCCTCTGATCCATTTGGGCAGAGTTTCGGATTGGTACATGGGAACTATAAGCAATCAGCAATGGATACCTAAGCTGTTTTTGCCGATTTAACACACCTTGGGCGGAAACCAAACCGACTCCGAGACCGGCGAAAAAGCGACCAGCGATGAACAGAGGTTGTGCTGTAGCAGCAGTTTGAAGAGCTACACCGAGATTGAAAGGCAGCATGACTGAGATGATGATTCCCCATCTTCTGCCGGTAATGTCTGCCATGATCCCCGCCGCGAGTGCGCCAACAAACGTTCCAACCGACAAAATAGAAACAATTAGGGATATGCGGCCTTCGTTAGGATGATTGAACTCATCGAGCCAGTAGGGCATAGTCTGGATACCCGCGATGGTCCCGGTATCGTATCCATAGAGAATGCCGCCAAAGGACGCAAACAAACCTACCAAGATGGCTGGCCATGCGGCTCCCTTTTCATTTGGGGGACGTTTAAATAACATAGCCGTCGCTTAATGAGTTATCGAATTCAAAATTATCCAAACAAAGAAGGAAGAGATATTCCCCATGTGCGGTGAGATATTGACGAATGCGACAGTGGGCGCAGAGGGATAACAGTCCTAAATACTTAGGGGCCGGCTGTGCTAATCTGCCAATAATTAAAATATAGACTTGGCGGGAGTTATTACCTCAGACGTAATCCAAGCCCTGATTCGGGAATTGCGCAGAGTCGGCCTAGTTTCCAAGACGGTCCGTGTGGGGTTGAATGACGCACTCCAAACCTTCCAAAGAGAAAAAGCAAAAAGGCAGAATGGTGTAGTCTTCGGGAGAGTGGCGAGCGTGCAAGGGCCCCTCCAATGGCCCTTGCCCCTGCTATCCAGGCTTTTCAGAACAACCAGAGAAATTGTGTGGAGCCTGCTCTGGGCACAAAATCAATTTCGGGCCAAGGAAGTAGATGGCGGTTGTTGAACACTAAACCTACTTAATGGTATCTCAGAACCTTAATGCGCCACTTAATGCATCTATTTCGACGTCCCATAATGCGGTGCATTCCGCAAATAAAACAAATGTAACAAATTTTTTACATTATTCAGTTGCGATACGTTCGAAGCCAATGGACGTCTGCATTGTACCGGCCGCAACGCTTCCCCGTGGAGAGATCTCCACACACACAGACGGGGAGAGTGTCCAGGCCCCGCGAAATTTCTTGGCCATCCTACTTTAGTCTTGGCGAGGGTCTGGCTTGGTATACATGTACCAACCAAACTTGAGAAACGCCAGAACCGGGACATCATGGTCTTGGCAATCCGCTGATCCAGGACTCCCATAGAAGTTCACAATGGATGTCCCGGTATACGGCACTCCGATAGCAGCCATAGCAAAATGTACAAAGGGGAGCTGTACCTGCGGTTGGATGGCGTGTTTTCTATGAGACTGAGTTGATCGTCATGCTCCTCGGTGAATTATCGGGGTATTCTGTCCCCATCAGGGACGGGGAGTGAGAATGTCCCGCCATGGCACTCCCGCCGTGGACGCCACCCGGGCCTGCCGGGAATCCACGTACCAGTTCCCGACCTCATGATCGAGTGACCCAACTCGATTTGGGAAGTCGGTTTAGTACTTGAACTGAAGAGTGCAAAGTATACAAGGCAATTGCCTTCTGTGAATATGTTTACAGATCGATACTTGCATCTATTAATACATGTATCCAAGATATTCCAGCCATCATTGTGTTGCCCACGTTGCTATCTTGCTGCTCAGAATCTGTAACGAGTGCAAGTGGGCTTTATACTTCTCCAGCAAAGAGTGGTCACCACCACGGGAACGACTCAAAACCGGAAGAGTCGGGTGTAATCGATCAAAGTATACATCGATCTAGAGTATCATGTTAGATTCATTGATAGAAGAAGGCCAAAATTCATCCGCTTCTTGGCGGTCGGACTGAATAGATGACCCCACAGCCGGGGAGAATGCCATTCTCTGCTGTTCCTGCGGAGACATGTTCATAGCCGAGACATCGGGTACTGGCTGAATAATGGATGGAAGTGATGGTTGGTGATATATGTTACTGCCGGGGAATTCAAAGACTAGGACTTGAGAGCCGAGATGGTCCGGAAGCCAGCACTCGACGTCCTGACGGTCATTCCAATCCACTGGCGTGAGGATCCATAGGCGGCGGGCTCATTGCCCCAAGCATCTACCACAGTGGATGATTGACCGTATGGTGCTAGCCAGCTGCTCCATCCATAGGGATTGTGACCTCGCCATGAGGCGCCCAAGATGTCCCCGACATCGCCACGGACCGGCTGGGTGCCACCGAGGAAGTCGGGACATGATACTGAAAATATTCGTGTTTGGAGATCTTAGCCTCTGAGGGATCTCGAGAATTGTTATGAGTTTGCTGCTGTCTGATTTGCGAGACGGCCACACGCATGGTTAGTGCAGTTCTCTCCGGCGCATCGACGGTCATTTGGAACTTACTGCCCGGTTGGACCGCGTTTCTTCTGCGGCTGGAGAGATGTACAATCAAAGCCCATTGATTGACATACCTTGCAGGGTTGCGACAGACTACACTATTAGGAAATCATTAGCGCCAGTGTCTGCCTGGGGCTAATGCGACAGGGATAAGTTGGGGTGGGGAAGAGGGGCCGAGGAGATAGATGATGCCTGGATCTTGCGGAACTTGCATTGGTCGCATGCCCGTTTCGCTATACTGGCGGCAGTTTTATTTCGGGTGGGAATGGTGCCGGTGACACCGGCACCCCCGCGAGATGTCGTCTCCATCGGCAGCCAACCCCACTCGGGCACAGCGCAACCCCAGAGGACAGCGGGTTACCCCTGTAATGGCCCGTCGCTCATAGACTATCGGGCGCGGGGTTGCGTGTCCCGGCTTCGCCGGTCTCCCTACGGTCGGATGTAGTCTCGGGTGGCAGACCCTCAACCCTTCAGGAAGATAAGCTCAGACGACACTTCAACCATACGGAGTAAAGAAAGAGCGTTTTCTAGCTGTGCTTAATGTTCAAATGCCTCTGTGACACTATTATTCTTGACGACTTCAAGACTGCGCTGGACACACTTAGTGCTCGATGGATGATGCGACAGGGAATGCAGGGAGTTCATTCTCTAGGTAAGTACTCTCGTCTAGGCTTCCTGGCCTTGTTTCGCAACTTGTCGGCCTCTCGTCTGACAAATGGGCACTCGCAGACTTTAGAAGCCACCCAACCTTTCATGAGGAGCGTCCTTTGCGTAGCACTCCTGCCACTGAAACTCGGCCAGTGCGGTACATATTGAGTGAGGGCACTGTAATACTGTAGGAACACCGGTTATTTATAAAGAGATGATTTCAGAGCAAGAAGATTATAATATTTATTATTAAATAGTCCGACCGTATGGACCTTTGACTCCCGGGGGCCACGCATTATCGTATTGCATGAATGGACTCCTCGCATGATTTGTCACGGTATGGGCAATCTTAGTAGCTGCATATGTTTGGGGGGGGGGGGGGGGTGCACAGAAACCATTGCGAGCGCAGCCCAGAATTGGTCAGCTCTACTGATAGTTGCGAATATTTATGGGCTGGCGGTGTCAGTGCTTGCGTATATGAAGGCTTACATATGGCCGAGCCATAAGAGCAATCAGAGATTTAGCGGTTCGTTGTTCTCATCGTTCTTGGACATGCGGGTTTCTCATCTTTTTATTAAGGAGGAAATTTGATGCACGGAATCTTATGCTAATTGGATTAGGCTCCATCTGTCACGACTTCCTTGCCGGAATTGAATTGAACCCTCGCATAGGGCGCCATTGGGATCTCAAAATGTTCCAAATTGGTCAACTGGGTATGAACTCTTGGGTTATAATGTAATTCCCTATTTTTCACTATGTGCAATATACATTACTCATTTATGGCAGTGATCTCTCGTTCGTGGCTCAGCAATACAAGAATTATGGTGAGGTTTCTAACTCTATGCTGATTGTTACTTTCTTCCACGTTTTGTACGTGGTGGACTTCTTTCTCAATGAGCAATGGTAAGCTGTCCTTATGCTATTTATTTTCTTATTCTCTTTCATCTGACTAATTGATTAAAAAGGTACTTAGCAACTATCGACATTGCCCATGACCATTTTGGCTTCGCCTTGGCATGGGGTTCTGCTGTTTGGTTGCCCGTAGTGTATACCTCGCAGGCCCAGTACCTTTCCTTACATCCTGTGAATCTCTCGCCATGCGCAATCATTATAATTCTCACGGCTGGCATCCTGAGCTTTGCGCTCTTTCGACTAGCGAACGATCAAAAACAGCAGTTCCGGCTGACGAAGGGGAACTGCCTGATTGGTGGCAGCAAGCGTCACATAATTCAAGCACAGTATTCCACATCGGATGGGACAATCCACCAGTCGTCTTTACTATGCTCTGGTACGTAACGACTTCTCGACACCTTAATAGATATATGGGCCAATCCTACTTACACCGACTCAGGCTATTTGGGAATTGTGCGCCACCCTAACTATCTCGGGGATATTATCTTCTCCTTCTCCACTTGCGTGTGCTGTGGTTGGGCTCATGTCCTTCCCTATATATACTTTCTCTGGATGGTAGCTCTGTTAGTTCACCGATGTTATCGGGATGAGCAGCGGTGCTCTGCAAAGTACGGACCTAGCTGGGACATGTATCAGCGAATGGTGCGGTGGAGGCTGATTCCTGGGATATTTTGAGGTCATATTGGGGTAAAGTAAGTGTGGTTGAATTTTGAACAAACACCTAGTTCATAGCTTCCTTAACTGCCCTGGAGAAGGGGGCGGGAAGAACTTCTGTGTGATGTGCTCAATGTTTGGCAAGGAGAGCAGCGACAATAAAGACTTGAAAAGAGAGATTCCGCCGCTATTCCGCCGCGACGAAGACGATTCCTGCCCTTACTATCCGCCTGGTGATGACGAGAAGTGTACCGATTCGGACTCGTCGCTTTTTGCACGCGCATCAGATCCGAATACTGCCAAGAAAATGACTCTCAGTTTCCTGAGCACGAAGAATAAATTTACGTATCTGAGATATCCCAGGTGTAACGCGAAGAACAATGGGCCGTCGAGTGTGGCGAAGGTAGGCTCCCATGGTAATTGTGTGTTTTTGAACGAAAAGGGAATGCTAACGAGTATACAAAAGTGGTATCTTCCTGAGTTCATGCTCTCTAGCTCAACTGATATTAACGACAACCGACGGTGCTCGGCAAAGACAACCAAGGAGAATTCCGTCCAGGGAGCGAACAATGTCTACTACGTGGATGGAAACTCGGATCTATCCGCTACGAACTTCCGCTCGGAGCACGTCTTCGAGGTGCACCTGGTCAGCCATTTCCTTGAGTGGGTGTGTGGAGGAACAAAAGAAGCCAAGTACGGGAATCTGAGGAGCAAGCTTGCTTTCCCAAAGGATTGGAAGCCTGCTGATTCTACTTGGTGCAATGAGGTGTTTGGAGGTAAAAAACCTAGGCCTATGTGTAGCAGATTGACATAAACTGATGGCATTTGTACAGGGTCTAGTGGTGGGATGACTTGGTCGAGGAACAACGGCCCCAAAAAGAACTGGGTCCAGCATACGGCCGACGTCCTAGGAAGTGCCTCCAATACTGACCTGCTCGTTCTCTACCACGACTTGCCCAACGGAGTTAAGAAGGTCATCACAGAAGGAAACCAGCCTGATCTCGATATCAATCTCGCAGAGAAGGGTCTAGCGGACAAGATCATGATGAGCGCCACTGTTTTCGACTACATCCGAACCCTCAGCGACAAATGGACCAAACCCAGCCAAGACATCGAATTAATCTCCGACGAATTTGACCATGAATACAGCCGCCAATACGTCAACAGCCCACCGTCGGGCAAGGCGCTCGAGAAGCCTAAGGCCCCCCGCGATATCAAACATTAGGGTCTGCGTACCCTATGGGCCTATTGGATCGACAGGCACCTAGACCAAATTGAAAAGGTTCAGAGCGGATGGCACCAAGTCGCTAAAACAAGAATGGAAGGCAAGGGCCAGAACAGCCCAGACGCGAAGAAGTTTGCGTCTCAGCCTATGACGACGGGCGACGCAGCGGTGGGCAAGTTCAAGTTCCCACAGAAGAATTTGGGTAAACCGCTCCCTGATGATCCGACGAGTTCATCGAATGATAAGAGTAGGTACGGCATGTGGGGAGACAATCAGCTAGGAAAGCTCGGCCTGTAGTAGACCTTATACTATTGTTCCGGTCTATATATGTATAGTTGTATATATCAAGTGGCCAGGGTTGACACTCGTGGTACTTATAACTTGTACCTTATTAGTTGGTTAGAATTGGAATTAAGCCCTATGTAGGCCTCGCCAAACAATTTCGTCGGCGTCGCGCACCTCGGAGCATCAAAAACGTTGGATTTCGCCGTGTCTGTATATCGTGCATGGAAAGAGCCGGATACGACCTGGTTAGAGACGCAAGAATACATCACGCCGCTGGGACTGGCGTTGATAAAGACCGCAAATGAACGAATATAAATGATGTCGTAATATTAGCCCCATTCCTTGTTATCAACTAGGTAATATGGGACTTCTCCTTTGTTAGGGTGTGACCCACGTCACCATCGTCTGCTGAGTCCCTCAAATAACTAACCTATGAATCTGAGAAATTTGCGATCTCTTGGTTCTTCGGAGCCGCTCTAACATGCCCGAGAAGCTGCTTTAAACAAAGCTGAATATCATGCGCCATACAGGGAACGCGAATAATGGAATCTCGAGAGTTGATGCCACCAGAAGAAATAAGGGTGTCTTGCAACGCCCTAATCAGGGTCCCATTATTGGTTACCTAAAAATTCCTTTTAAGAGTTAGCGTTCGCTGAGCAACTAAAGAAGCACGTCGTATAGGTTCACACCCGTGCGAGGGCCATGCAAAGGCTCGAAGCCAAGCAGCATCTCTCTGTAGTTCCACTCTTTGTCGATAAAATAAATGGTGATAGCCATAAACGCTTGCTAAAACGGACTCATCTAACAATCCAGAACAAGCGATACTTTGACATCCCTAGGCAAGTCGTCCAACTACGAGTCCTGCTAGGTAGTGACCGCGTCACGTAAACGCCGGCGGAGTGTTTTTGCGGACGGGATCTTCAATTTTGAGGGTCGGAGTGGATCGGATTAAGCAGACCTTAGAAAGTGGGGTCTTTCACAATTTTGAAAGGAAGTTATAGATGAGTGATTGTCTTCAATATAAACTCTCTAACTTCAAACTTAGTGTATTTGTTCGAGCGGAGCGATACATCTCTATGGGCTCTTAGCATCGAATCAGAGATAAGTACTTGGTGTGAGGCTCGTCTCTTGCCTTTACGGCACGAAGTAGACCTTGAATGTTTACCTATTGCGCTTGTTCCGTGCGACTTATGTTGCGGGTGGTCAAGTAATGTCGAGTAAGCCCGGCAGATAACTTTAAGCCGGCAGTTCCGCCACTAGTTGAAGTGTTTCCACACTTCTGTAGAGTGAGATATCACCGACTATTTGATTCTCGATCGTCCGCCTCTATATACGAGTTGGCTATATTCAGTCTCGAGCCACTAGGACAATATGCGTGAATCATGCAAACGTGCATTAGATAGATGGATGGGTATTTGGGTCTACCCACGGTTACCCGCCCCGTCTATCGTTCCCCTCATTCACTTCTTTAACTCTTTTTGACTCTTCAAATACTCCCAAACACCCAAGTCACCATGTCTGACTCGGATGAAGATGACTGGCAGCAAGTGCGCACCTACACTGACCATCTTGGTCACCGCGTGGTGCTGGAGCAGTTCGTCGAGCCAGACTTCCTCCAGATGACGTACACTTAATTCCCTTTCAGGTCTACAGCTTTGTTCCCCTGGATGACGACCACGAACAGCTCCGGGAATACCTGATGCAGAGCTTCATTGATGAAGAGCTCAAGCCTTTGTTCGAGATTTATTCATACTGCCCGCCCGACGCCTTCGCCTGTATTGAGCATAACCGCCGGGAAATCGCCCACCGCAAGCAGCTACACCGGTCAGGGGTCGAGAATCCACCCCCGCTGATTCGGAAATTTCCCCGTCGTAGCGATGGCACGCTCGGTGGGTTTTGTATCCTAATTCGATCGCACAGCTATCGACTAGGCCAGGATGAGGATAGGCTTGCTGAGGCGGGCGAAGGCCCAGACTTGCTCTACTTCAACCGCTCGTTTTCTAGCACGCGCAGTGATGTTGATGAGGCGCAGCGTATATCCGAATACGACGATCTCGCACCAGAGGCATTTGAATTGGCCACCGAGCGTATCACGAAGCAGTTTAACATCGGCCAGATCCTTATGCTTGATATCTTCCTGAACACCGGTCGTCCTAGCCTACAATACGCCTTGGATGTGGATGAGGGCGAGCCTCCTAACTCGAATCCGCCGCCAGAAGAGCAGATTCGCGACCAGTTAGGCCAAGAAGCTTCAGTCGGCGGCTTCTCTCTTAATCCGGCATTCCAGATTTCCCACGATGACGACATCGTAACGGTCACCAATACTCCCAAGGGAAGCGTCCCTGATATTCAATACGTTGTCCATGCGCTTTTTCTCGCCTCTATCCGTGACACAGCAGGGCCCTCCCTCCTGGAAAGCACAGCGCGCCTCTTCACAGCGGCAGTTGTCTCCTACCTCCCGGCCAATAAAACCCTCGATCTCAAATTCTACATCCCAAACTCCCCTTCCTGGTCGGCCATCCGCCCCGCCCAAGCCGAAGTTCTATCCCACCAAACCCAAGAAGGGGACCAAGAAAATCCCTTCCCTATCGGGGCCCTGCACACCTTTTCCGCAGGTGACGAACAACCCCCTACCGCACATCGCTTCACCCCCCAACGACCCGGCAAATATCTCACCTCAGCAAAAGCGACGGCCAGCACGCCATTTCGTTTGTTCACAGTTGCGCTCGATCGCGCCAAGTTTATCTCCGAGGCCGGGGTTTACTTCTACATGGCGGACTTCGATGCGTCCGGGGATCCGGACCCTTACTTGGAGGTATGTCCCGATGATACGCAGATTTTCCGGGGCGTGGATATGAGTACGGTTGCCGGACGGTTGGGGCTAGTTGTTCTTGACGGATAACTGGTTTTGTTGGGTGGTTTACTACATGTACATGTCTTGTGGAGATACCACTAAGCTGCAGTATTTTCACCATACATATCGAACTCGGAATAGAATGCGATGATATGAAAAGCTGACGGCACCGTTGGGATATATCGGTGTACCTTAGAAAGATATATACAAACAACTTTTTTCAATCACATATTCTTGTACACTTTCCAATCCTCTGGATACCTTTTTGCGTGGTCTAGAATGGTCTGATAACTTAGACCATCGACATTCCTTTTCCCACTTTCTGCGCCACGGGCGCACAATAACTAACGTGCTTCTAGCTCAATACCTGCATTCTTCGATATCAGGATTCGTCCCATCGGAGAGAAGAGCTTTTCTAGTATCAAGGTTCTGTCAGGCTACATTACAATGTAACGGAGACTTTCGATGAAGTAGTTCGACTGTCATGTCAAGCAAAGGGCTTTGCTTTTCGATCGTCACCCCGAATCCGACCAGCCCATTCCGCGCCGAGCTGCTGAATGCGACCTGCATTGACCCGCCGGGTACGTCCTGGTGTCTCGAGAATGGCCTCATCATCAGTTTGCATGCGTGCTTCCCATGGTGCCAGCGTAAACGGATTGATGGTTTCCAGCGATTCCATCTCGATGTTTTTCATCGCGTCCGCTACTTGGTATAGTGGTGAGCGGTGGTATCTCCTGAACTTCCTGATCCGGTCTGTATTTCTGCGAAGAGGATTGGTTTCCGGTAGCGTGTGTATGTCTGTCCACATCTTCACGGCCCGCCTCGGCCTCAGCCACGCCGGTCGCAACTGTGAGGAAGGTCCCCACGATTGCTTGTGCTCCTACCCTTTGGACTCGATTGATCGGTCCCATGTTCTGATTCTTGAAAGCGTGCATCCAGACGTTCGAGGCATAATCAACTACTGGGGCCACCGTCGATGAGAACAACTGCCGTGCTGTCGCTGGGGATAGACCTCGGAGTCGTCGGAGCTCCATTGCTGCCTCCAGACCCTTGGACGCTGCTCTCGCGATATGCTCTTTGTACTTTAGTCTCGTGTCCATCAGAACCCCCAGGATCTTGACCTTCTCTTTGGGCTCAACGCTTTGCCCTTTGATGATAAAGGGCTCCTGTTCCAGTTTGTAGGTCTTAGGGGCGAAGTGTATAATAGCTGTTTTCTCCGCCTCAAAAGTCGCCCCGCTCCTGCTTTCCCATTTCAGTGCGTGCGTGATTATCGCCTCAATTCCTTCTCGGTTGCTTCGAGCGGTTGGCCCGGTCACCCATGCGGTAAAATCATCCACGAAAGCAATTGCTCCTCCCTGGCTGTCGATCTGTCTCTGCACGAGGTCTGCGTTGAAGAAGAGAAATAGGATCGGGGACAGGGGTGAGCCCTGAGGCAACCCAGCCTGTGGAAGGATTTGAATCTCAGACTCCTGCCCATTGATCTGGATGGTCGCTGTTCGTTCCGAGCAGAACGCTTCGGTCCACCGGAGCAGCGTTTCTGGTATCCCCCGCGCCTTCATCCTCTAGAGTAGTCGTTCTTTACGAACCCCATTGTAGGCCCCTTTGACATCGAAGCTGACCAAGCACAACACCCGTCGACCGCGCCACGCCGTATAGATCTGCTCTTGCAAGAGCAGGAGTGCCTGCTCCGCGGACCGCTGCTTTCGGCCCCGAAGTGGCTGGTCGGAAGCAGGCCGTGGGTCTCCACGGCGTGTAAGATCCTTTCTGCCACCACCGATTCCAGGATCTTGCCCAGTGTCGCGAGGAGTGAGATCGGTCTCCATGCCTTGGCAATGGTGTAGTCTTCCTTGTTCGGTTTTCTCAGCGGGATGATCTTTGCGTGTCTCCACTGTCTTGGCAGTGTGCCTCCTTCCAACAACGCTTGGAAGAGATCAAGGACTCGCAGTCGGTCTATCATGATGGCGAATCCGAGAGTATTGGTCTCACGCCTAGTTCGTGCATTATAAACGTTGTGCACAGCACTTTTCAGACTACGGTCAATACACGCCGGTGGTGTAGTCGTTGGCCGCGTTAACAAATATCCGTCTGCCCTACCAGCGGCTTTCTCACCCCGTCGAAGCCTCCATGGGTCCACGTTGTACTACGCCATCACCGTTCGCTCCCCGAAGCGATATATTCGACGGACTGTAGGCGCGAACTCCATGATAGGCGCTAGGATACATCCCCAATAATAGGGTCTGGGATTTCTTTTCGTCAAGCGTAGACAAGGATCGTCGGAACAGACTCAGCTACCCAAACACTGCAGTATTTATACATACATGCAGTATGTGTGTGTGCGCGCGCGCCGGTGTATGTGAGAGAAATACAATTTACCCTGACCCCTCTCGAGTTGGAACCTTGGATTAATGTACGAGTATGATGATCATACTCAGTCTGTGGAAAAAGATCCAGCTACTTATAGTCACAGCAACTCATCTCCCTTCTGCCTAGCGGAGTGGCAGCCCCCACTCCTACAGACCTATATACACCACATAACCTGGGATCCAACTAAAAGCGAGGGGTCGGAGTAAATGAAATCATCTATCCATCCATACTGTTTCGCAAAACCATAATTTGGAGTCGACTCGACCCATATCGGCACCCTACTAAAAGACTACTCAAGATAGGACGAGGAAGAATTTCACTGTCAGGCGATGCATTTATTGAATAGAAGCAAACACATTTCCCATAATATTCGATGAAGTAAGCTAGCTTTAGAAATAAGTTAAACCATCTTTCAACAAGTCTTCAAGCAGATGGGCGGTGGATTGCTCCACATGCTATGATTACATTCAACTTGAGTAGCTTTATCACTCTTTGTTGGTACCATGAACATTGGTCCGGTAGGTGGAAAGACCAAGAATTAGGGGTTGTGGGTGTCGACCTGCTCTGGATTGCGTCGTGGCCGGAAGCGCTTGACCAGATTGCTCGTGTTCAGCGCAACCAGCTTACTCGTCGGCATCAAAAACAACTCGTCGATCTCCTCCAATGTTTTATCTTTGGTCTCGGGCATGAAGAACAGCTGGTAAAAGAAGCCTAGCGCGGCCAACCCACCGAAGAAACCGATCGTCAGGCCGGTGTAGGTCATCGCCTTCTGCATCCCCTCGAAGTTGTATGTCACGATGAATGACCACAAGTAAAGGAATGCAGAGCAGATCGCCATGCCCTGGCTGCGGGTGTTGAAACTGAAACTCTCCGCTGGGACTACCCAGGTCAGGCAAGAATAAGCCCCGAAGAACGCCATGTACAGCACCAGACCGGAGAAAAACAACCCCAAGGCAGTTGCCCTGTGCTCATTGAAGTAATCGACACCATTGTTTGTGTATAGGTAGCCAACACCCACCAGCGCTAGGCCCACGATGAACATCAGGATGTTTTGTGCCCACACGCGTCGTCCGAACTTGTCCATCGTGAACACGGCAGGAATCGTTCCCAAGAACAGAGCGCCACCGCCCACCATCGACATCAGGACTGACTCGCGGTCATCAAAATTCATCTTGGCCAACAAGTTCGACATGTTGTACATCACCGCATTGATGCCGGTCATCTGCCCGAAAAAGATCATTGCCGTGGCATAGACAAGAGCCCGTCGGTTGCGCGGCTGCCTGCACACTTCCAGGTATCTCTGATACCATTGCTCGTTCGCGGACTGCTCGACATCATGTTTGACCGTCAGCTCCATCGCGACGTACTCGTCCAGGCTTTTCGGGTCCGCCATGTTGCGCAGCGACTTCCACACCCTCCACGCGCGCCCGTATTTGCCCTTGGATACCAGCCACCGTGGTGATTCTGGCAGGAAGCACATTCCAACCAGGAGGATCGTCGAGAACAAGAGGGACGAGCCCAGCATCCAACGCCAGCTGCCTGACGGGACATCAAAGAATACGCCGCCGGCGGCGTATCCAATGATCTCTCCGAATGCGATCATCAGTTGGTACACCGACACCAGGTTGCCACGCACCTCTGGCGGCACACACTCCGAGATGTAGATACCGACACAACCGCCTTCGATTCCGATACCGATGCCCAGAATGAATCGGCCCGCAAAAAGCATGCTCACACTGCGGGAGCCCGCACAAAGTCCCCCTCCCAGTGTGTACCACAAACACGAGATGATAATTGAGTTGCGGCGTCCAAAGTAGAAATTGAGCGGCGTCATGATGAGCGCGCCGGCCATTGCGCCTAGCGGCATCAGTGAAGAAATCAACGAGATGTCGGTCGCCAGTTTCGGGTCATCCATGCTCGCCCACTCGCCTGATGCGATAAAATGCTTGCGGATACCAGGCAGCGCACCTGAGATCACCGACTGGTCTAACCCACTCAGCATGCCGCTAAACGCTGCGAACACACCCAGCGTGACAACTAGCATGCGAGGGCTCTTCATGTGCACTGGTATCTGCGCGAACGCCATCCGGTCATACAGTGATTCGTTGTCGAGGTACTGGTGGCTCTGCAGGTCGCGTGACTCGATCTCGTGCTCACGCTCCTCGGGCGTGAGTTCATCGCTGAACTCTTTGCCCATGGCGTCAGGCTTTTCCTCGTACTTATCGCTCATTTCGTGTTGGTCGAATCAATCATGAAAAAAAGGGTTGTGTGGGGGTCAGAAATGAAGAGAGAAAGGAAGATTGGCGATACGACCGCAATGAGGGCCCCTCTATATAAGGGCTTGTTTCGCCGAAAAGTTTGTCTGCGGGATATTTTGTACCATTGTACCCCTCCGCAATTCCCCGATCTCCATTGCCCCAGACCAGACCCCAGAGTACCCCACACATGAAGGCTTTTTTCTTTTTCTGGAAAAGGTTGTTTCATGCGAATCAGGCTTGTATTACTGTGGGGTCGTGTGTGTATTAAAACCAGGAATGTTGCGTATCAGTCCAACACTGCCAAGCACTAGAGTGGCTGCCCAGGCATCTGCATGATGGTAGCAATGCGTCTAACTATAAATCCCAACTCAAACGATCGAGAAGGTTTTCTTTCGATTACAGCGAGAGTGGAAGGCTCGGAGTCAGGGCCTCTGGAACAGGAAACAGCAGTAGGGTCGGTCCAAAAATACAGCCATTTGTCGGTATGGCCGGAACCTTATCTCAATAGAGTAATGGATGAGCGACGCCTCCAAACTCTTGAGTCCACTAAGCAAGAAACCTTCCTCCGCCCCACTCGGAAGGAACCGGCACGGGCGAATCACACCCAATTGCCAAGTCGGACGGCTCAGCAAGACCGGGGTTGACTGGGACCCCGACTATTTTTTTCTCCGAAGACTGCCCGACCGGAACACAGAACACCGGAAAATCGAAGCCGGCAACGGCTGAGGGATACCGAAACAGAATTCTGGACCGCCCTCAGGTCAGATTTTTCATCTCTTCGGCCCCATAAGGCAAGAACATGATCATGAGGAAGAGCAGGATGCTAAAGCACTAAAATAGGTTCTGCTTCTGACCATTATATTCCCGTTTGATGTGCAAGTTACTGTATACCTGCGCGACATGGATGATATTCCACTGTCAGGCATACCAGACTCGCTGAATATTGAAACTTTCAGGAAGAATTAACGTCGGCAAGATCGCAACGTAATACAGACGTCGATACATAGTTTCGCCGATAATATTCCAAGTCCCCACGCTAGGGGGAGCGCCTCGCGTGGCCTGACCTCACAAATGCTGGTGCGGATCGGATTACGTCCGAAGTTAAGTCACATAGAATGCACACTCATCCTGTATCTTAGCAGCGGAAAAGTAAAAACCCCCTAGGGCTCGGCACGAATAACGAATATATTCGTTTTCGCATTCGCAGACATTTTGCACTACGAATGCGAATATTTGTGATTTTGGTCACGTGGTAGGATTATAACTAGTGAGCAGTGAGTGACGAGCCTTCACTTCCTGTTCTGTTCCTCGCGAACAATAATCCGCAGATGACTTATATTACTAGCCCGTTCGGATCAGAGCTGCAGCTTGTTGGGAAATACCAAGACGCCTCAAGGTCTTTTTTGGCTTGGTGTTCTCCAAACTATATATCTCTCTCAACAGCGTCACCTTTCAGAAAATGTAGAGGTACCCCGAACAGATCCCTACTACGGCCTAAACAATTGCTCTACTGCGACTTCACGTGCCGGGATGCCAAGATAATCCCTGGCTGCAGCTATCATCCGCCGGTTCATCCTTGTGCGTCCTTCTTGACAGGGAAAAGAAACAAGCAATAACGATAGTTCTGTTGTGATCTGAAGCTCGCCAAGCACTGCTAATGCTTGGCTGAGCAGCGCTATAGAGAGCTTCAGAGCACTTGGTTGAATGCATCAAGCAACGTGGCCTTTTCATAAAAGCTAGTGAGCTGATCACGCAATAGTTTCATGAAAGGCATATCGTATGCATTTGACCATTATAAATAGCTATAGAGAAGCCTCCTTCGGGAGGTAGACTTAAATCATCTCGTTTTACTGCCCATTGCTCATGCATAGTGCTTCTCAGACCATTGTAAATTACAACAGGTTATGAGCCCGGCTTCGTCTCCGTAAGCCGGGAATAGCTTCATTCTTGCTATCAATTCTTTACTTGCTTTACCCCTGAGTCCACTCCTCCAACAATGTCTGATAGACGCACCACACGTTCTCAACGTCGCCGTCTCGAGACCGATCACCTCGATTGGAGTGAAAGTGAAGCTCCACCAATGAGCGACGCTTACCCCTCTGATGTTGAAGACGATACGCATACCGTGATCCAGGACTCGGCGCCGGGCCCTTCATCGCGAGCAATTGGCAACCAACCAATAAGAGAGCAGCCAGCTTCGACCTCGCTGCCTCAATATGGGCCAGAGATCACTGGCACCAACCAACCACATGTCTTAGACGCCAGTACAACGTCTGATAGATATAGGCTTAACATTCAAAGTAGGAGAGCACCTCTCTCTTTACTCAACCAAGTGAGCCAATCCATGGACCATCGGACCAGTCAGAGACCGATGGGCCCCATACAGATGCCGACGTAATGTATCGCAACCGAACTGCGTCGAGCAAGCCGGGAAGAAGCTATACAGCTCACCCGAACGGAACACATACTCCTAGAGCCTCCAGTCGCCATAGTGGAGAGCCAATTCAAAGAACAGCTTCGCGGAGATCTCACTTTTCCACTGGCAATGCACCGCTAAGACGTCTACCAAGCCATCAACCGACGCCGGCAATGACCAATGAAGAGGTCCAATACGCAAGAGCCGTTCGCAAAGCCACCGAGCACATCAAAATAGCTGCGACTATTCATCGCAAGCTTACTGATGACGACAAATTCGAAGCTTTGAAGGGAAAGGAGAACTACACCCTTTGGGTAATGAGCATGCAACAAGTCTTTGAAGACAATGCAATTGAAGCCATTGTATATGGCGAAGTCATTGCCCTCCCAGCCGACCATCGGTATTCAATGATGCAAAAGAAATTCATCAGCCACGCGAGAAAGGTTATTTGCAATCACATATCGAAGCCCATTCTCCAGTTCTTACAACACCGCAAAATCAACCAGCCGCATGCTATTTGGAGAGCATTGGAGCTGAATTATAAGCCGCATCCATACAAAGTAGCTGAAGACGGCATTGCGGAGCTTGAGCGATGTAAGCTGAGCAATTACGCCAGCTTCGACCAATACAAAAACGCCTTTCAGTCTGCATGGGCCAAGGTCCATAATGAAGGCATTGAAAGCGAGCGAATCAAATGCCTTTGGTTCATTCGAAAGCTCGACTCGGAGAAATGGCAAAGCTGGAAGACCAACCTCAAGTCTCGACTCACAGCTTCATCTAACCCTGATAAGGAAATTCTCCAATTCGAGCTGCTCGTCAGCGAGATAGAGAACCAGACAGAGAACGTCTCCAACGAGACATCAAAAGCATACTCAACCGCTGCAACGGGAGAGAAATGCAAGCACTGCGGCCGGAAGCATAAAAGCTCCAATTGCTGGAAGAAATACCCCGAGAAACGGCCAAAAAGAGGGGAAAAGGAAGAGAAAGGAGAAGAAAGAAGATCTCTACTCACCGCCTCCTCACCGCTTCGCTAAGCGACGAATCACCGTCACCAGCTACTATAGCCCTCTCGGTAAACACCAAAAATGGCCCAGGAGCATGGATATGTGATCCAGGAAGCGATGACCACTTTATCTCTTCACCTCACTACTTCGTGGCTGGCACTGCTAAGCCAATTACGACCACCATAGTCACTATAAATGGACGACAAGAGCAAAACGGGCTTCGTGGAAACGTCGTTTTGACCGTCAAATCGGGCCGTAAAACCAGAGAAATCGAACTCTGCAATACAATATGGTGCCCGACCATACAGTGCAACCTCTTCAGCGGCAACCGTATCTCAAAGAAAGGCATTACAGCCATTTATAAGCCAACCAGGGTTGACTTCATTGAGAAGGACGGCTCGCACCTTACTTCGGGAAGGAAGAATGGCTCACAATGGCTGCTTAACGTCGTTAAAACTCATCAAACTGAGAAAGCAATATATGCCTTGAAAACGACGACAGAATCGGATGAGTTGAATGCCGAGAGCCTCACCAAGGAAGCTCCGCATATCGAGGAAGCTCAACAAATTGAGCAAGCTCCGCCTATAGCAACCGAGCAAGCGTCAAAAGCGTCAAAAGCGTCAAAACCACCTGTTTTGGACCGCTCCCGAGTCAATGTCGACACTTGGCACCGCCGTATGATGCATCTCAGCATTCAGGGGGTGCAGAATACAGCCAAAATCGTCAATGGCATTGACATTGATGGGTTGTCAGCCTCAAAAAGGCCATGCGAATGCTGCGCCATTGGCAAAGCAACTTTGAAACCACGCCGCGCACCTGTGCTTCACCGCTCGAAAAAGACCGGAGAACTCGTCTATATAGATATTGGCGGCGGCGGCAAGCTAAAACCTGCTCTCAATACTGAAGCTCGCTACTGGCTCCTAATGATCGATGATTTCGATGGCTGGGCCGATATTTGCTTCCTCAAGTCTAAGAACGAAGCAAAAGACGCTATCAAGAAGCTTCTTGCCCAGTACGAAAGGGACCACCAAGCCCGAATTGAGCAGTTTGTTTCTATCGACTCGACCAAGGAAATTGGAGCCATTCAGACCGATAATGGGGGTGAATTCATTCAGAAAGACCTCCAAATTTGGGCTGAAAACCGCGGAATCCACTGGCATTTCATTGCTCCATATGCTCATGAGCAAAATGGGAAAGTGGAACGACTGATGCGCATAGTAGCTGAGAGAATGCGATCCGTTTTAGCTGACTCGAACCTCCCGCCATTCCTCTGGGCGGAGATCATGAAGACCGTCGTATACGTCCGAAACCGCACCATTTACTATGGTAGACGACTCGCCGGGATGCCACCAACCACCCCATATGAGCTTCGCCATGGCCGGAAGCCGGATCTCTCTCACCTTCGTATCATCGGATGCCGGGTATTCAGAGTATTTGGCCGAGAGCAGGTGGCTCAAGACCCCGTCGGCAAACATCTCGCCCGCCGCATCGAAATCGGCTACCTCGTCGGTTATGAAGATGACAATGGCGGCATTTTCAAGGTCTACCGACCTTACCCAGTGCGATCAGACGGCACTAGACCTAATGGCGGCACTCTCCACTTAGTGAGAGATGCAATTTTCGAGGAAGGAGAAGACTGGGCCCTTTACAACAACCCCGACCTTCCAGACCCTCGAAACAAGCTTCCTCATCATCAAATCGATGAGCCTATTGGCCATCAAAGCCAACAAAGCCAGGAAAGCTTCAAGGAAGCAGATCACTTGCTCCTCAACCCTGAATCGGACAATGAAGAAAGCTCCGATGAATCTGCCGACAATCTCACCTCTGAAGTAGACGCATACCTAACAAGCAATCAATCTCCTCTCGATATGGCCGAGGAGGACAAGCTATCGCCGTCCAAAACCGACAAGATCATTAGAGCACTAGCTTTCAGACCCTCAGTGATCTCAAAAAGTGACAGAAGGGAAATCCAGGCATGGGAAGACACTACAACGGTATTATTAGCTCAAAAGCTGGCTAGTAATGACCTTCATACCCTACCTCAAAACATGGAGGAAATCCCTACCAAATGGCTCGACTCTCCAGTCTCTCTTGCTCAAGCGAAAGCTTCACCTCTCTGGCCATGGTGGCAGAGAGCTATGCAAGCAGAGATCTCACAATTTGAAGCTCTCGGTGTATGGAAAACGGCGACACCGCCTAAGGGCGCCCGCCCACTTCGTGGTCGATGGGTATACAAATTGAAGACTGATTCAGCGGGTAAACCAGCGAAGTTCAAAGCTCGCTGGGTCGCTCGCGGAGACCAGCAACTTCCTGGTATTGACTTTGACGAAGTCTACGCCAGTACTGGCCGATATGACACCCTTCGAGTGCTCCTTGCCGTCATCGCAATGCGAGACCTTCACACCACGCATATGGACGTCAACTTAGCGTATCTCAATGCAGCTTTGGAGGAAGAAACGTATATGCATTACCCAGAAGGCTTCGAGGACCGCGGAGCATTTTGCAGGCTTTATAAAAGCTTGTACGGACTTCGCCAGTCGGCAGCAAACTGGTACAAAACCCTCTCCGAATACCTCCACTCCAGGCAATTCATGAGCACCAAGGCTGATCCATGCCTTTACGTACGCCATGTCCAGGGGGTGGAATAGTGCTCATCTTCGTCTATGTTGACGACTTGCTGATAGCAGCAACTTCGGAGAAGCTTCTTAACGACACTAAAGAAGCTATTTCAGCAAAATGGTCAACTTCCGACCTCGGTGAAGTGTCATATTACCTTGGCCTTCGCATCAAAAGAGACAGGAAGCAGAGGCTGCTGAGCATTGACCAGCAAGCATATGTTGACGGATTTGCTAAACCAACAACCAAGATAGCTTCACCAAGCCCTCTTACTCCGATGAATCCTATCGCAGTACTCAAGAAAGCTGATCCAGAGCTTCCTACCGACACCTTACGAGGCGAGGAATATAGGAAGACCACTGGCAAAATCGGCTATGCGAGCAACAACTCCAGGCCCGACCTTACCCTCGCATTCTCCATACTGTCGAAATTCAATCAGAGCCCCGACGAATCGCATACCCTCGCCGCCGACCACGCCATTAGTTATGCCAAGAGAACCAGCGGATATGGGATCACTTACGGCAAGGCGAAGGAAGCAGGCAATACTGGTTTTGAAGAAGGTCTAGGGTTGTGGGGGTGCGTGGACGCGAGCTTCGCTTCCGACCCCGACACTATGAGATCGAGAACCGGCTGGGTATTCTTCCTCGCCGGCGCTCCTATTTCATGGTGTACTCGCCGTCAAACCAGCGTCACGAAGTCTTCAGCTGAGGCTGAATACTACGCTCTCTCAGACGCAGGAAGCCAGGCCGTATGGCTGCGTCGCTTGCTAGACGATCTAGGCATTGGCAACAAGGGTGAAGCAGTGCATTTGCTCTGTGATAGCCTCTCAGCTATTGCTCTTACGACGTCCGCGAAGAACCATTCGAGGAGCAAGCATATTGACGTCCATTGGCACTGGATTCGCGAAGCCGTCGAAGATCAAAAGATACGGCTGTCGCATGTGCCAGGTGTCCGTAATATAGCGGATGGCCTCACAAAACCGCTCCCGAAACCGTCATTTGACGAGTTCAGGAAGCAGTTATCCATTTCTCTCATCAACTGAAGAGATATCTTGCTCCATGAGCAAAATGGCATTCTGATTCGACCGATCAGAATCGAGTATTTGGGGAAGTTATTTGACACCCTATCCATTCATTTTAGAGCTGAATTTTATGGCTTTTGAACCTCTGAAATGCTTGCTGCATTCAGGGGGTGTGTTGTGATCTGAAGCTCGCCAAGCACTGCTAATGCTTGGCTGAGCAGCGCTATAGAGAGCTTCAGAGCACTTGGTTGAATGCATCAAGCAACGTGGCCTTTTCATAAAAGCTAGTGAGCTGATCACGCAATAGTTTCATGAAAGGCATATCGTATGCATTTGACCATTATAAATAGCTATAGAGAAGCCTCCTTCGGGAGGTAGACTTAAATCATCTCGTTTTACTGCCCATTGCTCATGCATAGTGCTTCTCAGACCATTGTAAATTACAACAAGTTCATCCCGGGTCACATGACCAACCCGGTCATGTGATCTCAACAAGAGCATACCTCGAAAACTACATTTATACCTACATGGCCGCCTACCGGTCTGTCAGCCGGTAAGAAGAGGCACTCAACTGATTATTAACGTAATTCACTACCGAGCTGCCCACCCTACCGAGCTGCGCAGCTACTGTAAAACACGTCAATTAATTAGACCTTTCTTCAACTACCCACCATGCCACCAATTCGTACTCAATCCTCTCGAAATTCAATTGAGCAGGAAGGCGGGCTATTATTAGCTGCTCAGGCTACTAAAAAGCAAGAAATCGCCTCTATCCGCGAAACAGCTCGACGTTTTAATGTACCCGAATCAACCCTCGTACGCGTGTCGCGGCATTGAAAATCGCGTCGAAACCCGCGCTAACGGCCATAAATTGACGCAAACTGAAGAGGATACGCTCCGGAATTCGGTACTCTCAATGGATACTCGTGGAGCAGCCCCCCGACCCCCTAATATACGAGAAATGGCCAATTCATTACTCGCCGCCCGCGGATCTAACCCTAGCTCCTATAGTCGGCCAAAATTGGTGTATAAAGTTTGTGAAAAGGCACCCAGAGCTATCAAGACGATTTTAAGAGGCTATAATTATGAGCGCGCGAAGTGCGAAGACCCAAAATCATTCTGAATGGTCCAATCTAGCTCAAAAACCGATCATTCAATACGGCATTAACCCGAACGATATCTATAACTTTGACAGACTAGATTCGCAAATAGGTCCTATTTCTACCGCAAAAGTCGTGACAAGGGCTGAATTTTACGGTCGGCGATTACTTTTGCAGCCCGGAAATCGCGAGTGAAATACCGCAATTGAGTGTATAAATGCCTCGGGGCAGGCGCTACCTCCGTGCGTGATTTTTAACGGCAAAGTCTTCATCGAGTCTTGGTTCGACGGCCTCCCGGACGATTGGCGCTTCGAGGTTAGTCGAAAAGGGTGGACTTCCGATGAAATTAGCCTTCGGTGACTCGAAAAGCTCTTTATTCCGTCTACTTCTTCGCGTACGAAGGGGAAGTACAGACTTTTGATACTCGACCGCCACGGAGGTCATTTAACACCGAAATTCGACGAAATCTGCAAATAAAAAAAAAAAAAAAAACGATCTCATCGCAATTTGTATGCCTTCGCACTCGTCTCACCTTTACAGCCTCTTGATATTGGCTGTTTTGCGGTGTTAAATCGCTCGTACGGTCGACTTACCGAATGGAAAATGCGTGTCGAATCAACCATATTGATAAGCTAGACTTCCTGAAGCCTACCCGTTCGCGGGAATCGAGGCATTTAAATCGGAGAATATTAAGAATAGCTTGGCCGCCGCCGGTTTAATACCTTGTAACCCCGATCGAGTGATCTTGAAGCTCGATATTCGCCTTCGAACCCCGACACCTCCCTCGAGACGTGGGAGCGAGTGGGGAGCCAAAAACGCCGTCGAATAACGTCTAATTACAAAAACAAGCTTCCTCAATTAAAGCTTCGCTAAAGCAGCGCTTAAAAAGTCCACCAAGCCCGCTTAACTCCGCAATAGATCAGGTTTTAAAGGCCTGCCAAATTACGATGCAATCGACAGCTTTGCTCGAGAAAAAAGTAAGCAATTTACGTGCCGCCAACGAGAAGCAGAAGCCAAAGCGGACTCGGTCTACTAGACAAATAGCTCACGAAGGTGATATCTCCGTCTAAGAGGTTCGTGAGCTACGGCCGGAGCCAATTGAGTCTTAAATAGCCCGTATAATCCAGGTTCGTGAGCAGATTTCTGGGCCTTTACAGCCTCGAACAAGGGCCTTACCAAAATGCGGGTTATGTGGAGTTCAGGGACATAAGAGAAATGCATGTCCACATAGGTTTATATAGGTAATTTGCTCAATTTAATGGGGTTGTGGTGAGATAAAAGCATTTAAATGTAATAGATCAGGGTAGGTGCGCAGCTCGGTAGTGAATTACGTTAATTCAGAGCTTATCTCGATCGCTCTGTTCCGCACTATATAGGACCTGATGCCAATTGGCGAATGGTCACTTTTTGTTGTTGTTTCTGTTCCTCTTCCGAATCCGGATACCAATTAAGGACCATTCCGATGAATGTGCCTATTCCAATTATCAAAGGGATCAACTGACCGACACTGTCGATATTGTTGACGCCGCGGACATTGTTCCACCGGATCGTCAATTCAACAGCCAAGACGACCATAACAGGTACAATACTTGAAGCCATAACCCGTCTCCAGGGGCCATTCAAGTCATCGTCAACCTTCAGACCCCCCATAACATGCAGCCGCACAAATTCAGGACCGGACATATCCGGTGGTTTTGTTTTCGGTATAGGCGATCGAGTTGTCGAGGTTCCCGCTGGCTTTTTCTTTTCTTCGATGGATTTTCTCAACTTAAGGTAAAGGGTGAAGGTCACAACCGCCATAATAAACACGGACCATATTTTGGCGAACGTCCTGAAGCGGCCATGCGCATTTACGCGAGCCAGAAAGAATGTCTCGGTCTTGCATGGAGTGCGTTCCAACTTGTCAAGGCCAGTAAACCAAAACCACGTCTGATAACAGTCTAGTCCGAGCGCCGTAGTAAGTCTCAACATCGAAACAAGTGATGGCAGAGTGATCTGTTCTAACCGATTCTGGGTTTGAACTTTATCAATCGGCTCGGCCAAGTTAATGCCAATAGAGGTGAAGCAGAAGAGATATGTGACCAGCGCTTCGACTGCGTAGAGCTTCTCGTTGTTGACGGTCTGCTGGATGAGAGCAACAAGGGCAGCAAACTGGAAGAGGCCCCCAGTTTTAACGAGGTCGGACGCTGCTTTTCGTTTGTGACATGTCGCTATTATAGTCGTAGCCGTTTGGACATATACACCAACTCGAATACCAAGCCCATACATGTCTGAATTGCCGTCAAAGCCACAAACTTCGTTATTTCTCGAAGTGGATGTGATACCCTCGTTTTGTCGCTGAACGAGGTCCGCCGTGGGAGAAGCGTGAACTTGACCAATTTTAGATGTTCCCACAAGTAACAGCGTTGCCGTATATGTAAGCGCGATAGATGTGAACAATGACCGGCTCATGGTGATTAAGGCACTGACTTTTGTCAGCTACTGCTGTGGCATTAGCTGCCTACTGCATAAAAGGGGAGACTAACCTTGAAGAAGTTTAGACCTAGGGCTGTAAGGATGTATACAGCTTTGGGGTGCATCCCATTAATTTTTACTTCCAAAATTTGAACAAAGCAGATTCTGACAATTTCAAACATACTCGAAAAAATCAAACTTGGCTATCTCGCGCTAGTCCTTAAGACTGATCAATAGCAAAGCCTCTTCACGTTGTGGGGACTTATCAGGGCTGATCTGCAAGGGATCAGGCCAAAAGAGCACAAACCCTCAGTGGAGGGACCCGCAACACATCTGAGCACACGGCCCGTGAAATATAGTTAGAGCATACTACTAGCCTGGACAGGGAAATAGCTAAGGCGTCAAAGGTACGGCGTGAGACCACACTGCACTCAGTTTTCAGCTTTGCTTTCACCTCTAAATGCTTGTCATTTCGTCACAAGTGTGCTCCACACTTCTGTCTTGAGCATAGAAGTATCATAGCTATATATATTGAAATGGGGATGGCTCGATGGCAGTCTGATATGGCAGACGGGTCGATATCAATGGAGAGAAGACAACCAACCACTCCCATGCCCGCCGTAGGTAGGGGTCGGCACGAATACATATTCGTAACATTTTGAGATATTCGCATTCGCATTCGTAGATCACAGACCTCTACGAATATTCGTATTCGCAAGGCCAATATTCGTACGAATATTCGTACAAATATTGCCCCGTCACCAAAACCAACTCCCACCCAATAGGAAAAAGTATATCACGTGCAGTTTGTTTATCCAAGTGACAAGTCGCGTCCGAATCTGACAAGTTTATTTCAAGGACGTGTTTCCATGACAGAAATAGAGCTCAGAATGTCTGGTGCTGAATTGCAAGCTTCAAACAATGATGGCTCCGGCAGCTCATCTGTCGAATTGCCACCACGCCCCCAACGGTCTCAGAGAATAGACTACCACTTCTTAAATGGTGGAAGTGACGAAGACGATATTGAAGATCATATCAGAAAGAAACCCCGACTGGATTCGCCACCTGGTCGCTTAGAATCGATTGGTCCTGAAGACTCCGCCAGCCAGCTGCATCTCAATCTACCTACTCCTTCGGAATCTGTTCCACCAGGGGGCTCTAGATGCATTACAGAGGCTATACGGCCATACAAATCGCACAGAAAAGCCCGCATTAAGCCACTGAATCAATGGCTTTGGAATCAATTTCGAGTTAGTCCTCTTCCGGGCAAGCAATGGCGGCCCAGGCGAAGCCGACAGCTGCTTGAGGATCGAGAGATTCAATGCATTCATTGTGGCTGGAAAACCACAGATTCGGCAAGGGCAACATCTACGACCAACATGAAGACGCACCTAGCCAAACACAACATTTTCGAAAAGTCCGGTCCAGAGGACCTGGGCGAGGGTTCCAGCGAGACGAAACAGCTCTCAATTGCTTCAATATTCCAGTCCCGAGCCGAGCATGATACTAGAGCCCTGTTGGAACAGAACATACTTCGATGGGTTGTGACAGATGATGTGGCATTTACGGCAATTGAGTCCCCTGCGTTCCAACAGATATTCAAGGACTTGCCGGACGCTCCTCTTCCTTTCTCTTCTCGAACAGTTGCCCGCCGCATTGACGCAGATTTTGATCGCTGTCGGATCCAGTTGATCGATGAACTAGCACGGACATGCTCCACAATTGCGCTTTCCTTGGATGTCTGGACAAGCAAGAACCATAAAGCCATTCTGGGAGTTATCGGTCACTGGGTGTCTACCGACTTCAAATATCAAGAACGAGTCCTGGAGTTCAGCGAACTTGCTGGATCCCACAGTGGAGAAAATATGGCGGAGACTCTGCAGAAGATGCTTGTCGAGCTTCGGATTGAGGAGAAGCTGCTCACAATCACAGCTGATAATGCGTCGAATAATGAAACGCTGGTGTCTGAGCTGTATTTTCACCTGTTGGAAAAGTACAACTCGGAGGATTCCAAATTGCCCGATAAAGGACGTCTCCGATTTCAAGGTATTGACAGCTACATCCGGTGTCTTGCACATGTCCTCAATCTCATTGTCCGCGACATCCTCTCGAGGATGAAATCTGGAGATCATAAGTCTGCCATTGAAGCCTGTGATCTCTTACAGGGAAATAAGAAAATCGGACGGCAGTCTGCGTTGGCCCGGATTCGGATCATGACTCTCTGGATATTGAGGACACCTCAACGACGACAGCAGTGGAAAGTGACTTGCCAAGCAAATGGCTTGAACGACAAGTTCATCGAGTATGACGTGGAAACCCGCTGGAACTCCACATACCGTATGGTCCAGGGAGCCCTGCAAGCCAAAGCACAGATCCGGATGTGGATAGAGCATCAGAACCAGTTTCCGCCATTTTCAGCTGACGACTGGTTGCAGCTGCAACAGCTCGAAATGATCCTCTCCAAGTTCGATGAGTTCACTCAACTGGTTTCCCGGCGGAAATCCCAGATCAGCTTAGCCATTCCCATCTATTACGAACTGAATGACATGCTCGAAGATGCAGCTTCTGCACAAGGCGACTTTTCGGGGCTTAGCTCTGACATTACCTCCGCCATCTCCGCGGGGATGAAGAAATACAAGAAATATTATGAACTAATGGACGCCCAAGATGCTTATTATATAGCTCTTGTCCTTGACCCACGCTTCAAAACCCTCTTATTGGATAAGGAGCTCGGGCAGGTGACGGCGCCAAAGGTTATTCGATCCATCAAGGATACCTTGCATGAGCAATACCCATCGAAATCATCACTGGAGCAATCAACGTCAAAGATTAATCAGGACAACAAGCGGCAAAGTCTGGAGGCTCGTGTTCTGCAGAAGCTGCAACCACAAGTGATCCAGCGTTCAGATATTGACCGCTACTTTGAGGAAGATGTGGTGACTGTTGATGAATCTGTAACAAAGGATGAAGATTGGTTATTTGGCTGGTGGAGGACGCACAAGGATGAGTATCCGCGGATGGCAGCTGCAGCCAGGGATTATCTTGCCATTCCGGCGGCTGAAGTCGCAGTAGAGAGGTTGTTTAGCCGTGGTAGGGATCTGTTAGGGGTACGTCGACATTCTCTAAAAGGTGAGACAATGCGGAAAGTGATGCTGTTGAGAGATATATATAGTTCAGAGAACACCCAGTGAAAAATCCTAGAGCGTCTTGCTGGTATTCCCAACCAGCCGCTGCTTTGCTTCGAAGGATATAGTAGTATAAAGCCTCTGTGGATCATTGTTCGCAAGGCACGGAACATCAAGTGAAGTCTTGTCACTTGGGCTGTGACTGCTCACTAGTTATTCTTTTGCCACGTGACCGAACTTGCGAATATTCGCGGCGAATAGAAAATTTATTCGCATTCGCATTCGTCGTGCAAAATGTCTGCGAATACGAATGCGAATTGCGAATATTCGTAACGAATACGAATATATTCGTTATTCGTGCCGACCCCTAGCCGTAGGCATAGAGAGTAGCCTTAGGAAGCGACTGAAGTACTGATCTTGAAGCTATATCATGAATGAAGAATCTGGTGGAAAAACTGTAGTCATATTGATGATGGTAGGATGCTGCCCTCGAAGGAGAAGATTGCATGCAAGCTTCCTAGGGCATTTGTGATACCTCAGGCCTCTAATACGCTACTGTCATGGGTTCCACCACTACAATATGAATTATTAAAAAGAAAAAATTTCCCTCCAGAATAGTTGTCGCCGTTTTTTTCAGGAGTAGTCGCGGAGATCTCATTATGTACAATAGTTTTAAGCAGAATGGTAGTACCGAGTGAGCCAGTGAGCGTGGGGGGTTGGGGCGCTGGTCCCCATCGTAGAATCGAATCACCGCTATTTGTAACGGGCCCGTATTCATCACGCGCTGACCACGTGACTAGTCTTGTTTACACCGCTGCACGGCCACACAGGTCGTCCTTTCCTTAAGCTTTTGATAGACAGCATGGCGGCTTAGCTATTTTGAACCAAGACTTGCTTCGACCCTTTACATTAGCCCGTATAAGGTCTGTTCGGCGATGGTACGGTTGAGAGACAGATCGTTAAAATTAGAAGTCTGCAGGACAATCAGAGAAGTATTGCCCCGATTCATTCTAAACTAACGACGACCAGCTAGTCGTGCGTAACAATTAGATACTTCAAGGTTTCTTAAATATAAAAATTATCCTTTCTAAAGTCTATCAATAATTAGATCTATTATAAGCTGACTCTTTAAACTCTTTTGACTGAAGAGCTTTATAATTTATTACTTTTATTTAGTTAATAATAAATAGGATTTTATACACTAGTTAGCAAGGAGGGCTCTCAAGTTCGACATTTTGGACACTGGTGACAGCTCACAATTCGATGCAATCCTCGGGTGGCTGTGTACAGATGCCAAGAGAATGGGTATTTCACGAGGCAGCAGTTCGTCCAACCATATTTAATTGGAGCTTAGCTAGGAGGGCAGTGCGGTAGTCGCGCGACCTAGTTGATCCTCGCCCTGATTCTCACCCTGTCTATACCGCACTCACCCTTGTCACCCCCGGTCGCGCGAGCATAAAGCGGTTCTCACCCATTTCTCACCCCAGCCGCACCCATTGAACTATTAACCGCACATAAGCCACACGCCGGCAGGTTAGTAGTATGGTGGATGACCACATGCGAATTTTTGCTGTTGAACGTTTTTGCTTTTTCGCCTTTTCTTTTGTTTGATGATTTATTATAGAATTTTATTTTCTAAATGTTGGCGAGTATGTACTTTCCCCTTCTATGTCCTTGTTCTCCGAAATCCGATTCTTCATGTCTCTATTTCTATTTCTCGGTTTTCCGTTTCAGGGCCGATGCGCGCAACGCGCGTGTCTTCCAGTGCCCTGAAACGAACGAAGTGAGAGAAAGGGAATAGTCAACACGGATGTACGTTACGTGTGCGCGTGACGTTGCAAAAAGAGGTGGCTTAACTATATATGGACTCTTCTGCCACGCACGTCTGTCATTCGCCCTTGTAGTCCGCGGTACCTGCATTATTGTCGCTTTCTTCGGACTAGATCGTCTTGGCTTAGGGTTGTAGGGTTATTTGTGCCCGTTACGCAGCTTTAATTGCTTCATCATCTGCTTGTTGCCCTCCAGTTTATTGCAACGCTATGCCGTTTATCACCACTCTAACTTCTTTTTAGTACGCCGTCTCTCCAGTTAATCCTCCAATTAATTTTAGTCTTATCTTTCCAGAATATTATCTTTTTCTTTACTATAGTCAGCTATAGCTCTAAGTGCGTCCACCTACGACTACAGTACGTCCGAAAAATAGTGTCAGCTAGAATTTGAGAAGTGATCACCGCTAATTCAATTCCTGACTCCACTCTCCCGTCTCATCCTCCATGTCTTCATCCGAATTCTCGTCGTCATACGGCCAGTCGAAACGAAGTCCGATGATGGTAGGCCACGGCGTACCGCATAATATGCAGGTTAAGTGCTGTGGCGGGTCTTCGGGCTGCACTGGCGTGTTACTAAACAGTTCTTTTGCATTGAATTCAGAACACTAAGCATAGAGAACGAAAAGGAAAGAAAGAAGAGGGTTGCCAAGTCGAGAGCATTATAATAGCTGAATACAAATAGCGCAAACATTATCTAAATGGCGGGAATATCCGGTAGAAAAGGAGCAGCTTGGCAAGATCTAAGTTTCCATCGGATACTGCGGCTTGGAGAGCATTCCCGGATACACACCTCGGACGTTCACATCGGGGCCCCTGTTAATGAAATAACAGTACTGCGTGCCCTGAAACGAACGAAGTGAGAGTAAGGGTTCTAATCAACGTGGATGTACGTGTGCGAGACTCGAAAAAAGAAGAGGCTTAACTATATACGGTTCGTTCCGCCACGCACCCTCGTGATTCGTTCCTTAGAACTCCTTTTTGAGTCTGGTGTATCTGGGCGTTAGGGTTCGCCATCTATATCTGCATTGTATCTGCATGCTGTCCCATTTTGATTGCTTCCGTTTCTTGGTGTATCTTTTAATCGTACGCTCTGCGCCATACTGCCACCAGCGCGTTTATCTACGGCCCACTTTGAGATACCTTGTGTCTCTTTGGTGCTGCATCGCTATGTTGACGCATCGCTCTTGTCACCTCCTGACCACAGCCTCACCCCACAATATCGCGTGATGGGTACTGTCAAGGAGGGCTGTGGGTAGCCTGTACCAACAGATCAACGCGCAGGGGCTGGGACATGATGATATCTTCCGCGTTGTGAAGGAGGCGCATAAACAGTAATCTCTGCACTTAGTAGACATGATACAGCTTGATCGATACTAGAAATGAGTCCTTCATTGTTCTACCTAACCTTCGGTCTTAGCATAATTCAAAGACTTATTTCCCATCAACAACATCCTGAATAACCTTCTGCAGACCTTCCTTGTCGAGTTCCTTAATTCCAAGCAACTCATTATCCGTGGTGGTAAAATGTCCCCCATTCTCCTTCCCCCAAATAGCCCTATAAATAAACGGCAAGATAGTCTCGTGCGAAAATACCCCCTGTTTAATCTTCACAAGCGCCTTCTCAGCCTCCGTAGCTGTATCAGGCTTTGTAATCGTCCACTCCTCACCCCCCACAATGTCCTGCGACAGGGCCAGAAGCTCCTTGATTGTCGTAACGGCCTCTCCAACCCTCACGACCCGATTCTTCGTCTCCTCGGGATGACTCAGAATACCCACAACGGCCTTCCCCACACCCGCCAGGGTGGTTGTGGTATACAACCTCTCCCCGCCATCATGCAACACAGCAGTCTTCTTCCGCAGGTTAACGGGAAACCCAAACTGGAGTCCCCAGTCCAGGAACATCCCGTTATACACGACCGTGTAGGTAATCTTCCCCTCCGCAGCCAGGGAGCTTAGCAACTCCTGCACTTTGATTTTATCGGCATACACTGGTGCCGCCCGGTTGAGCGGGTTATGCAGATCTGACCCAAACTCCGAGGGGAGGAAGCGCTTAACCCCGGCAGCGACAGCGGCATGGATGAGGTTTGTTTGGGCGGTCGCGGAGGTGGGCGGGATTGTTGAGACGATGGCGTCTTGGCCGTTGAGATTCTTGGTTAGGTCCTCGACGGAGTCATAATTTACTTCGACGGTTTTGACGCCGGAGGGCACCGTGGGCGAGGAGCCGGGCCGGGTGAAGACAGTCACGTTGATGGATGGGGAGGAGGAGACGGCGGACAGGATGGCGGGGCCGAGGTTGCCGCTTACCTGGTTTTGTTAATAAATATATGAATAATTGTAGAAGGGGAGGACACTTACGCCTGCAAGGACGATGTTCCGGAGGGCCATGGTGAATTAGAGTGAAGTATATGATGAAGTGTGCTGGAGTCTCAATGGTGTGAAGAGTGATTCTACAAGGTGGTCGACACACGCCTTTATATACCTTCCACATTCTAACTATAGCGCTATAGGCCTGGGTGATTCCATCATCGCTGACATACATGCACCCAAATTCTGGGTAATCACGAACATCCCACTCGGCATCTCGGGTAGTCTTGACTTGGACTCACTCTGGTCCTGATTAGTCAGTGAGACAGGATATTTCATTGGACAATCAGGGAGATGTCGTTCTGATGGTTTTCATCCCACTCGGCTCATCCACTGGTCCACCTCTACCGTTTGGAAGATCGAGTCAGGCTTCGATGCTATGGACACTATGATTGCGTGCGACTATCCTGGATGCACGGCACAGTATCGGCGGAAAGAGCACTTGAATCGCCACGCGCGAAAACACTATCCCGCCACACAACTAACGTGTGAAGTCTGCGGTAAATCGTTCGATCGGTCGGATACGCTTCGTCGACACCGTCAGTTACACCTCAGGGATGGGCGGGAAAGTATGCCTCGGGCTGCGAGGGCCTGCGATTGCTGTCACGCTAGCAAAACACGTTGTGATGGGAAGGAGCCTTGTAATGTCTGTTCCCGGCGGGGCTTACGGTGTACTTTCAACCGATGGCCGAAGCAGGCGCTTGTAGGTGACGCTGCTACGTCGAAGCTTATGAGCGAGCCCGAAGTTCAAACCTCACGTACATCTGTCGACTACCAGGAGCATGAAAGGTCTGAAAGTTCTGAAAGACCACTTATCCCTAGGGCTAGCAAGGAAGTCCAAAATCTGCTTCTGCAACATGAGAACTATCTCCGCGAAACCACGCTGCTTGCTCGAACGGAGAGAACTCGCGAAGGCGATCAAGGGCAGCTGGATATCGACTACCATGTTGAGATATACTTCGCGCATTTTCATTCTCAATGGCCGATCATTCACAAGCCCTCCTTCCACCTAAGTAAAGACTCGCAACCACATGTTCTGATCTTAAGCTTTGCTATGATCGGGCTATGGGTTACCGGCGGGAGGGCTGCGCGGACAAGAGCGAAGAATATGCATGAGAAATTAGTGACATTGTTAGAGAGTCGCATGGTGAGCTCCCTGAATCTATCTCAGTCCATCGGCCTTCGTAACTATTCTCACATGCGCAGGGAGACTGGAAGTCGCAGAAAGACTTCAAGGACACATCATGGCCGATGTCGACATTCCAAGCCGTCCTTCTGAACGTGATATTCGCACCGATAAGAGAGGCCCCTCCAGATCTGCAGAACCGTTGCTCATCGATGGTCCGCGCACTAACGACAACCTGTATCGCCGGTGGCTTATTCTGCTACGGCCGCATTCGTGCACAACTGACGCCGAATGAATCGTTACTGTTCTCGTGGACATGGGTAGAAGAGACTAAACGACTGGCGCTAGCTCTGTTCAAAGCGAACCTTCTCTATAACACAGGGATGCTGATCATCTCCGACCTTGGGATCCCCCTTCCAGACGGTGGATACTTGTGGGATGCGCCGGGGAGCAGGGAGTTTTATCGTCGGTACCATGCACAGGTAGAATCTGGGACCTACGAGACGCCTTTGATATGCAACATTTTTCGTGATGTTCAAAGGGGCGGACAGGGTTTAGGTTTGCTATTGCAGACGGATAGTTGGTTAGGGTTCCTTGCGTCGGAGCAGGAGCGGTCTGGTGGTGGATGAGTATAGAATACAATGGAAAGTGCCCCAGTATAGATTACTCATTGGAATTAGAGTTCTTAGACAGACTTACTACCAAGAAGAACCTCTTACACATTGATTCTGAGCGTGGCGGTTCTTAGTTGGTTCAAAAACGTGTATTCCTTTCCTATCCCACACCAGTTCCAGGAATCTCCTGAAATAATTGCACCTGGTGGTCACGATGAGGCGGCCACGTAAATTACGTGGCCAGACACTGCCAACGAAGCCAAAATCTCGCCGCAGGCTACCACACCACCTGCAGAGAGGCGTTCTCAAAGACCACGAAAAACATCATATGCCGATATACTTGCACAGTCAAAATACGATTGTTGACTAACATATCTGGTTTTCCTTATTTTCCAAGATGTAGCGGTTATTAGTCAGATGATTTCTACCTTCTCATTGGTCAATGTTCCCTTGTCTTCACTTCCAAGTACCAGTCAAGCAAACCAATATGACTTTAACCTCTTGTACCTGCCTTTCCTTTTTGATCGTTTCAGCGTATTAGCGTGCGAAGCGCGCGTCACCAGTTCAATACGATTCGGTGTTTGGAACCGGACTAATCCTGAACTGGATTAGCGCGTTTCGGAATAGGGTTCGAGAAAGAGTCTCTGAGAGCGAAGTGGTGAAACTGATTTCGATCCATTCTGTACCCTCGCACAAGACCAACAGAATGCTCGATCTAAGCTGTCCGTCAACCTGATTCACAGTCCTAGCGCCCCAGGATCTATGTTCTCTATTTTACAAAGAACTGCCATACACACCTTACCGCTTCTTTTTCCTATGGCCACACCGTTCGTTTTATTACACTTAATGGGTCACCATGACCTGGCAACATGGCATCGAGAAGGACCCCGCCCCCCAGGTCTCTTCAAACTATAGAAGCATAATGCTCCGCACCAAGCGGTATGCTGCTCAATGATAAGGCTGAGTGTCGATTGGAAGTTAGAGTCCCAATTCATGTTGGAAGCAGGCACAATGACGGAAAATGGTGCTCTTCTACCATATTACAAGAAAACAACATTGACCTCCTCGAGAGTATGGATGTATCAAATCAGCGCCCAGAGATAGTTGAGATTTATTACTATATTAATGACCGAAATAGCACAGTTTGATAAACATCTGTTCTCACGGGACTAAATGAAGCAGGCGTCAAGAGGTTGGCCATAAAGGAGTTCCGCGCTTGACGACCGTGATCTGCGGTGCAGTTTAACTCCAGGTGGTGTCAGCCAAGTCATCACGAGCCCGGTCACAGTTGGAATTTCCGGTATGAGTATAGCAAAGGCCTGCCACTCCAGCCGCCCATATTGCCCCGCACTCCCACATAATGATAGCAAGATCCCACAATTCTATAACCTTCTGCTCGTGGGGATAAGCCACTTCGGCAGCTAGAACAGCTCCCACGTATTCACTTTCAGCGGGTATGCTATCAGCCCCTCTCACGTAGGCAAGGACAGGTTCTACTAGGAGCTCGATGACGGCACGTGTTTCGGGCAATGGGTGAGAGGAAAGGACAGATTGGAGTCGTGCCTCGGCACTGGCGAGGGGACGCTCCCCGCGCTCGACCTTGGTGCCGCTTGCTCGAAAGTGCTCCAACTCTGGCCGCCCATCCGGTATTGTGGCGGCAATACCCGCGCCCGCACTGAGGTCTGTTCTACCGAGGAGTGTGATGGGTCGGTGTCGGCAGTTGGCGAGCTGCCACCAGTGTGTGAAGAGAATGCAGAGGGCTGCCGGGTTATAGGGATCGTTGTCCCGATACCATATCATAGAACCAAGCAACCGCGAGTAAATCTCGAGCAAGGGCTCCTCTTCCAAAGATCCCCCCGTCAAAGTAGGGATGATGTTGCTGACTTCTGCGCACGCTATATCAGCTCCAAGATCAATCCAGTCATGCACAACGCAGCCAAGGCCGGCGATGGCAGCCATCTGTTCTCCGCCGCCTGCATCGTAATAGACATGACAGAACACGGCATCGGCTAGCTTGTAACGGGCAAGCCGAGCGAGGTCGTCCCATACAACTATACACGGGCGAGAGGGGACAGGATGGGCATCCTCGATGATGGTCTTCTGGCGCAAGCATGCATAATCGCAGCCCTTGACGATCCGTATGTCGTTGATGTGTGGACCGGCGGAAACGGATTCTTCAGCAACAGCAGCTACTTCTGCAAATGCAGCTGAGAGACTGTCCGCCATCGCAGCATTTTTGACGCCAACGGAGTAATCCAGGACGAATGCCGAGTCCATGATAGCCCACAAGCCAGAGATCGAACCACCGTAGACGCCCCGGTTATAGCCTAGTGCCATAGAGAAAATGCTGGTGTTGAGCAGAGGCCCCTCACAATCCTCTGCTGAGAGGAGATCTGCAACGGCCCGGTCCGATGAGAGTGCCACGCCACTCAGCTTAGGAGGGAGAGGCTTGCGAGCGGAGCACCATGCCGGCAGCTCAGCCCTGCGGACTTCAGCGAACGGTAGGCGCTGTGTCACTCCAGTCGTGATCACCTTATCACGCGCTGTTAGGAGAGTCGCAGCATCTGCTAGCAGCCCAGTTGCACAATCGACAGCGTCTGCAACGCGTGCATTGCGCATCCAGGAGATGCTTGTGACTGCGCCAATGACTCCGCTGGTCTGAGTGGTGTCATGACGACGCGCCAAGTTGACCGTCGTCACCAGCGTGTCGGTTTCAGGGAGGTATTGTTGAGAAAATTTACTTGACCCAGCCTTGACCGGACCTATGCCGTGGGTCTTGAGAGACCAGCAGGGGGCTCCAAGAGGGTAGCTCATGGTGGCCCCTTCTCCAAGAACATGGGTAGTACACCATGTCGAAGAAAGACGGACGGTGGCATCAGGATCCTCTGCCGAAGTCTCGTCCTTTCGGTCAGCCCAATGGGAAACGACAGGCAGGCAATCAAAAGCTGGTGAGCGACTGAGACCACCGCTGATGACGAGCCCTGGTACGAGGTCTGACACGGGCATTTCAGAATCCTTTCCTGCCAAAGGCAGCTTGATGTCCCTCGAATGGGCGAGGATTCTGTCTAGCTTGGCATGATACTCGCTAGCTGCCTTGGTGCACGGCGTACTCCAGTTAGTGTGTCTAGCACCGGTCCTTCCGTGTCTCAATACTGAAGGCGAGGACTTGGTTGCGTTGGCAATGAAGTCGGTTACGTCCCGACAGACCATTCGTTTACCAAAAGAAGGCTGCTGACCAGCTCGGGGGTCAACGAGTCCCCCATTGAGAGCCAGGTCGGGGAGCTCACTGGTCCTGGCTATGTAAGGCATCTTGAATTCAACGAGAGCGGTTGAGCGATGTGGCTCAGAGGCAGCAAGAGTGAGACGCTGACCAACTCCTATCAGCTTTCTAGCAGGGTCTCCTTGTATTAGATCTTGGGATGACTGCTGTGCGGACTAAGAAAGGTCTTTGTAGGCAGAAGTTCTCAAAAGAGTAAGTGTAAAGGGGCATGGAAATTGTAAAATTGATGTAGTGTTGTATGGATCCATTGATAAATCTGTTGAATATTCTTCCTTTCCTATTCCATGGTCCTCTTATTTATATTCTGGTTGCACTACCCTGGGTGTACATACCTCCAGTCAATTAGCGAATCATCAAAACACCGCAGAATTTCGATCTCGATCTGCAAGCGATATGCTTACGCCTTGCGCATCTCGGAGCCTTACCATTGGGCGCCACGATGTTGCTGGCGTATACCATGAGGGATGCGGTTGGTAGATTGTCCGCGATGCACTGCTGTGGCTGACAAGTTGCAGATACAAGGTAGGTATACTAGCTAAATTATGCCCTCTACAGTGCATTCTATGCAACCTGAAATGACAACCTGTCTTTTCACCTTGACCGCTATTATCTTCCGGAGATCTGTCCACATAATACTTCTTTACTTCTTCTAATCTATTGACTTGTTGACGCGCACACCTATCGTTATGTATTGAGATGATAGATTTGTATTGCCAATCCCGGGGGTATTTCTACTTGCATGTCACGGCGTGCTACAACTGACATTTCTCGTTACCGGATTATCTACCTTACAATTGTTCTTGTGCTTTAACATAGTATTTTAACTTCGACAACTTCCGGATATACAGCTAGTCCCAAAGTCTACTTCTCAAAGTTGTGTGCATTTTCGATGATCTTCCCATTGGCAAAGTTAACTTTGCGTCGGTAAGATAGTTGAACACTCCAAAACTATATCATGCAGAAGTTAATCGGACTACTTTTCGGTCTTATTCGTACACCACAAGTTTTGCATGTTTCCATCCACCCTTCCGAGGTGGTGATTCCTCGATCCTAACTCGTCCCCATAAGGTCCTTTGCCGCCTGTGGCTTTCAACCCTTATCGCCCGAAGCAAAGCGGGAATTTACTGAGATGTGGCCACCCTAATGAACGGAATCTAGGATAATGTATTGACGCTTATATCCCCAAAAAGACTTTTGCAAAGCATTGAGAATGGTGCGTCTAACTTTCTGGGCAGGACAGTCTTGCGTTATCTTAAACGAGATTTTGCCTCGAGTGCTAAAGGAGGTCGTCTAGCCGAACGATGCGTAGAATAGATGGCGTAGCCAGTCTCAGCGCCTCCTGGCCTATTGGCTCAACCCTGGCCTTAACTAGGACTAGCGAGATTGCCAAGATTAAAGTGGTGGTTGGCCAATCAGAAGCGAGTACTTCGCATGTACCTGTGGGTCGGGATCGGGAGGCCATTCGAGCATAATCACGACTCCCAATATCTTGTGCCATTATCGCTTCTGTAATCTTCTCAAGTCACTCTGCATGTAAGGTGCGTCCGTTCTTCGAGATTACAGGGCATCCTTATCTCCAGCAGTATCCAGACTGTGCCCTGGGAGTTCGGGCACAGCGACATGCTCGTGCGTCCGATTTTGCGCGATCCCAAAACATCATGATCTAAATGGGCCAGGTGTTGCGATTGTTCTGTGCCTGTTGCCAATTACACGGCCCGCCCCACATCGTGGCGGATATCTCCGTGCCGTCATGACGGTCCAAGCGGGGGTCTGATCCTGGCTTTCAATGGACAGCATGCAGTGCTGGATGCCCAGGCGCTGGGTACATTCGCGCCGCCAGACGCCTGGGACGGATCGGACCTGTTTGGATGACACTCAACTCGGTCACTGTCTGATTTTCAAACCTATTGAACGGTTCCTGAATGTCCATTCCGAGAAACACAGCGACAATCCTTGAGATGGCTGTGGTGGGTGACCACCGGAAGCTAAAACACCCGGTGGGCATTTCGCATTGAAGCCTTTGTCCAGAGGTGACTGATAGGTTGAGAGAGGCCACACGAGCCCCGTCCATGCACAGCCCACCATGACCGAGAACTCTCTATCATCTCCGCCCTTTCTGGCGCCATATGACAAGGGCAAGGCAGCGTGCGGGAATCAAGACAGGCAACGCGATAGGTCTGGGACGGGCCCACACAACTGCTGCAGGATTGGCCTCAGATAGCTGGGGGTCGCTTTACGCGCTCGCTCACCAGATCCTCGATTCGGCGGAATGGTGGACCCCAGATCGCAACTGGGAATTGGCCCGTGCCATCGATGCGAGCGACAATGTATGCGATGGAATGCAGCCGGCAACTGGATATGACGTGTTGGTTACTAGCCCCTCTCGATTGGGGGATGTGCTGGGGCAAGCATCGTGGGGCACCGAGTCAGGCCCCATTCAACCTTACGATTTTCATTTCCGGCCTTCATGGATGGAATTGTGGTGGTGCTGCCGAGTATCCAGGGCGGGTAGGAGATCATGATGTGGACGGACGCGACTGTGGCGAGCCTGCTAAAAGAGGATCCCGAATGGCTGCAGTGGGTGTCGCCAATGGTTGGCTCTCGGAGCCCGTCTATGGGTACGAATTGAAGCTTACAGTTTTACCTATTAAACCATGCTTTTCGGAAGCCACAGCTACACCATCTACAGAGCATACGCTCAAACCAGCATACGTTATGTCTGATTTATCTCAGAGTGAAAGAAGCGATGGTTTTGATCATTCCTCGGACGAAGACTTCACGGGCGATACAACTGAACCGGAATTATCGGATTACTAGGACCACCCATTCTCGGTGGAGAAAATCGATCGCTCAAGCACGGCCGCTGCGTGCTATGCTACTGACAACACGTTCCGTAGTCCGTCAACAGCCATTGCGGGAGCAGAGACCCTATTGAGCTGGCATTTCTGATCATCGAAACCCGGGGGTCGGAGCCTAATTTTTCCTTTATGCCCGACAACCGGACCAGTAGCAGGGCCCCTGTCCGTTCAGTGGTCGGACTTTGACTAGGATACATGCTGCAGCATGGATGTCAATTCGAAGCCTGCGAACGGAATCACATCTAGCAAGGCCCTCCTGTTGCGTGCAGCGGTTGAGTCTTGATCCTGTGACCCAACGTCCAGCAGCAGAGGCACGATGGGTCTGAATGGAGAGTTACATCAAGCACGGTTCATTGTTCTTCCAGCGACCGAGCCTCTCTGTTTGAACCTGTAGCACCAGGATAATCAACTACAACAGTTTGAATAACATGACTGGGAAAGCCTGGGGTTTAAGAGGCACCATTGTGCCTTTTAGCAAATCCAGTGGGCGCGTACGCCAGAAACATCCCTGACGGCTTAGACCAGGAATCCGGTCTCTTGAAGATTGCTGGCCCGAACGGTCCATTAGTAACGCCAACCTCACTTCTGTGGTGGCTTAATTAGATAGATGAGCAATTACGAGATAGGCCTGGACGGGCGCGCACGGATGCAGCCAACACTTAGTTATGAAACTACTAATCGTATTTGACACTGATGGTTTGTCATGTAACCTCATCGAGCGACCTCTGGATACATGCGCACCAAGATGCATTCCGTAATGCGAGGTTCATCGAGGTTCATGAAAAAGAGTACAAGTGGCCCATTGGCCCATGTGCTCATGATCAGAAGTATAAGGAGGCTGGTACCGTCAATTATCAGCATTGGTTTTCTGGTATGGAGGGCTGGGCTATGTGGTTGCTTACGAAATTCGGTGCTCCGCGCCCTTGGTCTCACGATGAGATTATTGTTTATGTTGCTAAGCTGAGGGCGGAGCTAAAGTATCCTCGCTATCATATCTATGAACGCGCATAAGTTCCTTACCTCTTTTTGTTGTGATGTCGCTGATTAGCCTTAGTCGTCCTGTTTGGGCGCGGAAGCCGTTCCCTGGTGAAGTTTCGCCTTGCGTCTGGTAATATGGCTGTAATTAGGACTGGGAAGGGAGTGAGAATGAGGGTTTGAGTTGGGAAGCCCCGGTTGAAGATGGGTATTGCTTTTGCTGTAGCTGTGTTAGTTTTCGCACATCACGTGGCCCGGGACCAACTTCAGCGAGGGTTGGCAATGAAATCTTCCATCTATTTATCCATTCATCCGTTTGTAAAATTCGCCATCGCTTCCTGCATATGAGCCCTCGAGGATAACATAAACTACTGCATCTTCAATTATCTGTCTTTATTGTAAGCAAGGATCAATCTAAACGCAATAAATGGAAGGTCAAATGTTTACATGAGTCGGTCAAGCATGTTATCATGAGGGTACTGATAGGGGCAACACCGATGTTGTACAATGCTAGCCGAACAGCAATGGCAGGCCAAGGCGGATGATTATTTAGACCGATTCTCACATTGGCGGTGGATCTTGTTCTGAATATGGCATATCGCCTCTTAGGGTGTTCAGTAGCTTATATATTCTATTGGATATGCTGGTACCTCTGATCAATTCAATGCGTCATCATTGCCAGTTAAATAGCCGTGTATTGCCAAGGCCATCAGAAAAGCTAGCCTTCCACTGTTCCGTCGTTTGTCATACTGATGGTCAAATTGGAAAGTGGTTCCAAGATATCCCAGAATATCCCAATTGGGGGCGGCGGCATCCCACCTTTCGCCCATTATCACCTAAACAATGGTGCAGTCACTGAAAGTACTGCTCAATTGGCCATGTCCATATGCCTCGTGAGCTACAACCTTCATAGGCAGTGAAGATATGTTAGTCCCGCTAAGAAAAGGTTCGTGCAGTACTATCCATGTAGAACTAGTAGGCTTCCCAACGAACTGGAGACGATAGGCAATACAAATGTTTTCTAGAGGAAGCTAGGACCCTCCAATCAAATGCCGCAAACTTCCTGACTAAAACGGACCAGAGGGCACTATACCCACCGGTCCGGTTTTATGCATTATACTTGCTGGCCCTTTCGACCGGGAGTATCAATCTGCATGGCATGGCCCGACCAAATACGAGAAGAGGAAAAATGTATAAAGGTTAAGCTGGATGTTTCTTTCTACAGCCGGTTCCTTTTTCGACGACTGCTGTTACCCTAGGGTGGAGAAAGGAGTAAACATCTAGCCAATGACATGATGGCATTATAGCACAGAAATATAGTTGGCTTTTAGTTACTCGTTTCTCCACCCTCAGGCAACAAAGTCCTTATTGTTTTGCTTTCAGTCTTATATAATCGACAACGGCCGATACAGCTCTGATTATGACAGCCAATGTTACAGAAGCTTCTACAAGTTGATTCCATCCTTAGAATGCGGGCAAAGTGGTCGCTGCAACCGTGCGCGAGGTTATGATGAAGTCACAAGAAGTGAACGTCAGCCATGTTACTCCAAGGTGGAGAACGGAATACCAGAGAATCCAACTTTACTCTCTGGTAAATCCGTACTCTTCAGTGTGTCCCTACTCCCAGATAAGTCGATACTGTCCGAGATTTGAGATTCCGGTCCAAAGCGTCCATGTTAGGCTTGAGTCGACATGCTAAGCTACCGCAAAGCTGCCAAGAATGATGTCCAGCAATATTTTCCTTCCCCTTTCTCAAGAGATTCTCGGATGTCTTCCATTTTCATAGACTCAAGTACGGTGACATGTGGTCAAGGTGGCCAAATGTTGGAACTATAAGATGGGAATCGAAACAGCCTGGGATCTGGAATCTCGTCCCAACAATCACCTTGCTAGACTTAACAAGTGACACAACGTGTCGAGCGAGCTCAATACAGTAATGGCTAGTATGCTTTTAGTGCAGTGTCAGGTCGAAGGGGAACAAATTAGAGTGAATTGAAATCGAATTGATGGAAGACGTAAAAGAGTGGCAAATCAGAGGGCATGTTAAATACCCACCTGAAGGACCGATAACCAAATCGGGGACCATTGAGGTCGGAGATAATGCCGCGGGGACCGCGAGTAACTGGTCGCGGTTTATGCAAAATCCCAGAGGATGTACAAAAAACAAAGAAAGACGGGGCACGTGACCAACCGAACGGAGTAAGCTGTAGGCGCCCCCAATTTCAGTCGATACTATGCTCCCAAAATATTCCTAAGGGTTTCCTCCAAACTCTCCTCGTCCGGTAAATCAAGCTCCTTATTAGAAACCACTCCCCTCTCATCCCAATTATTTCCCGCATTCGGGTCCAGAAAAGCCTCTTGAATCAATACAACAGCGGCCATGTACTCGCCCTGCGCCAATCTTTTGCGTGCATCCTTCACCAAAGAACTGTAATCAATAACCTCAACTTTCCATTGTTCTCCAGTAATCTTCTCCACTGCCGTAAGCAGTTCGTCCTGAGACACGGTGAATGACCGGACATGAACGAACTTGTTCGCCGTTCTCGGTGCGATTCCAGGGGCGAGGACCTGGGCTACCGCCCTACCTACCAGCAAACGGCTGGATGCCGAGAAGTGGCTAGATCTGTTGTTAGGGTCCAATCGTGCTGTCCTTGTATGGATATCGAAGCCTAGGAAACCTTCTTTAAAGCCTCTACATCAAGTAAAACACTGCTATCAGCATGCCATCACTATGACAGAGAGAGCTGCTTACAGATCAAAAATTGGACCGGACAGAATACCGGTCCACTCAATCTTTCCGTCCAAATGGTCCTTCACATCCTGCTTGGCCTTGAACGAAGGCGCTCGCTCGGGAGAATTTCCAGGATAGTTCTTATCAGTGCCGTATTCCGCTGGAATAAACCGTTTCACCTCAGCTTCGATCGCCGCATCAGCAATTTTGATTTGATCCCGTGTCGCTGCCGAACCAATAACAGAGACAACAGCATCTTGGCCCTTTAGCACAGAGACGAGGGCAGAATAGTTGTTGTAGTCCACTTTCACCGTTCGCGCACCTCTAGGAGCGGAGAAGGCGGATTGTTCCTGGGACAGGACAGTGACGTTATAGTTATACGTGGATTGGAGGAGAGCTTCGACGATAAACTGTCTGTGTATATACGTCAGCTTACAGCTCTGCAAGCTTCCTTGAGATCTCTCGCTATTAAATTGTTCTATATCTTAGATATAGGCTAGTTAGAGTATCTCACCCTAATTTTCCACTACCCTATGGTAAAGCATTAACACCCACAGGATGCGAAGGGGGAAAAGTATGACTTACCCCAACAACTGCGACATTCTTGATACATCCAGACGACATCCTGGAAATAGCACAGCAATCAGGCAGCTATGTAAGTATACGAACTTCGGATTTGGTTCGACTGCTGAGACTATAGTATTAGAGCTATGACTATGAAATCCACACTCTGTCAACACTTGTCCGAGTATTTATACTGTATGATACAGTTATTGATTCCGTTAATTCCGTGGAAGGACAGAACGGACGGATATTGTGCCATCCTCATCGTCAGTATCATGTTTGCATCTTCCATAATCACAGTCACTAGTCACTAGTCTCCTTAGCCCCACAAATTATATCAATGATATAGGGCAAGCAAACACTTTGACTTTCAGTTTCTTCGGTATAAACCTTATTCACTAACCAAGGTACGTTGCAAACAATGCATATCTTTCAAACACCCATCAATCAGGATCAGTTATTATTTCCGTGAGTTAACTCCGGAGGAGGGCGAAACAGACGACGGACGGATATTGTGCCATTCTCATTGTCAGTGGCACCCTACCCACTTACGCTGACAGATTTCTAGGGCTATGGTTATGTAGATATTAGCGGCAGCTTGTACCACGATGATTATGTCTTTTAGTCCTAAGAGGTTGAACCATAAAAATGTGGTGCACAACATTCCTCACCTACCCCTTGGTACAGTACTTCCTACACTAGCGACTTATTCCCACCGTCTATGGCTTCGTAAATAGTTGCGAAATCTATCGCGTGCGCCCCTAGTGGCGATCAGGCACCCTCAGGAGAAGGCACTATTAGAAGAAGTAAGTGCGGTCTGTATGGAATGCCAAAAGTAAAGGTTATAGCAGGTAAATATATGCTAACTAGTGCTACATGCCTTTGGAGGAGTTGTTAATAGTCCTAGTCTCAGAAATACGCACTCAGAAAACGCCAATTCAATAGCTCTCTGCAATTGTGATCCACCACGTGGAAATGACCGCTTTGCTACCCCGACCTTGTAAAATCTCTGTCGAAGACAGAATCTTGTTTTCCTTACATTAGATGCGACGCAGGATTCCTCAAGCTATACATGCCGTTTACTATGGGTGCTTTTGGGGTGGGCACCCGCTTAGAATGGTCGATTCCATTAACCAGTAAGTTATGTTTAAACGCCTGACTAAACTGGAACAAAGTTTGCGATTAGTGCAAATATTACTTTATTGCTCGATAGTGTTAAACTAGCCTCCAGATGCGTGGGATAAGCTTATGCACAGTCAAGCACCCGCCTGATCCAACTCTTCTTCGCCTCTATAGCGGCCCTAGATACCGGCACATCGGGTGCAAGCAAGTAAAAACCATGCCAGGCGCCAGGCCACACATGCAGCTCAGCCGAGACACCGTTCTTCCACAGCATTGAGGCATACTCAACAGCGCCGTCCCGGAATACCTCCGCTTCACCCACATCGATAAACGCCTGTGCGACACCAACCATGTCCGTGGCAAGCAGCGGAGAAACCAACTCATTAACGGGACCAGCGCTAGGTTTGCTTTCAATATTTGAGCCATCATCACGCCCCAAGACACAGTCCCAGGCCATCTTATTCGTTTTCCCGCTCCACACCGCACCGTCCTCATATTGTTGCTCAGATACCGACTTCCCACTACAATCTAGCATTGGAGCGCAGAGCAACTGTGCGCAGAGCTCGGGATAACGTTTATTTCGGGCCTTAATTGCACACGCTGCGGCGAGGGGCCCGCCACCGGATAAACCCTGGATTAGGATTTTCTTTGAATCGATCCCTAGCTCCTCTGCGTTGTCGGCAACCCACACAAGACCCGTGTAGCAGTCGCTAAAAGCTGCGGGGGCAGGATGTTCGGGGGCCAGTCGGTACTCGACCGTGATATGGACTGCATCGATGCCACGATACCAGGGGAAGACCGATCCGATGCCTGAAAGCCTTGTCCCGGATATCTGGCCACCGCCGTGGATATGGTAGATGGCGGGGCGGGTGTTGCTTGTAGAGCCTTTGTTTTTGAAAACGGAGAGCAGAATCTCATGGCTGACGTTTTGTTCCTGGCTGGTGATCGTGTATTCTTTGTGCTCGAGGTGGTCATACTGGGCAAGGATTGCGTCGATGTCAAAATCGTTAAAGCCGATACGGATGGACTCGACGGATGGAGAGCTGTCCGAGGAGAAGTGTCTCCTTATGGTCTCAAGAGCTGGGTCGTATGAAGGGCGAGGGAGGGTCGAACTTGCTCCTGCGGATGTCGAATAGTGGCTGATATAGGGAAAGTTCATGATAGACATTGTTAACAGTCTTGCAAAGAATAAGTAGACAAGCTCCGGTACACGTTGGAGTGCTACCTGTGGGAGGGGTGTGCAATAAGTAAATATGTATGCCTCGGAGGAGCTCTCCCGGAGGTTTTATTTCAATAAAGAGCTCGGGTACGGACATCACAAATCTAGTCAAAGTCTGGATATGTGCTTCTTTGTTTCACTGGAACCAATATTAACTTTCACTCCGCGCCATTGCTCTTAGGATTACTGGTCGTCGGACGAAAGGAGATCCCAATCTCGGTCTACTGTTATCAATTACTTGATTTCCAATCATCAACTTACTGGTAGTAAGATTGGGATTCGTGTGGATCGGGTCTACTTTCGGTAGCTGCGGCCATTATTCTCCTTTGTCGATTCCAAGAGATACGGTACGCGCTAGTTCTACAATAGACCAATGGTCGGCCTAATAGCATAGAATGAGTGTAATTGCTATAACTAGCTTGTTGGGCGAGTATTTGACCCTTTGTGGGCTTACCAAGCCTGAAAATGACTTGGCAAGTGGCTTGGCAATGAAGCCGTCTATACTGTAGCAAGTGAGGAAGCAATGGATGCTGTAAAAATCGGCAAGCTAGTAATGTAAGGGCCCCTCTTTATTCGACATCCTTAGCCCCACAAATTACGTCAGCGACAGGGGCAAGCAAACACTTTGACTTTCGGACTTTTAGGGGTACAAACCTTATCCACTGTTCATAATTAATTGATTTCCGATCTATGCATTGACTAATTTGCAATACTGTTCATAATTACTTGATTTCTAATATATGCAATGACTGGACACACGGACATAAACTTAAAACTAATCGCGTCAGCCAGGACGACGTCGTTTGTACGGAAGCTGGAACATCCGAGGTCCCCCTATTTGTCTCGGAGCCTATTGGTTAGTTAGGCTTGGGACAATGGGGAGTTCTGTGAACCCCCGGGTATTTAAACGCGACATTCCCAACTCAGGTAGCCCAGATGCAAGAGATTAAGATCGGTTCAAATAAAAATGACGGACTTTGAAAATGTTCTAGCTGACGGTACAGCGCGGGGCACGAATATTGTTCCCGGCTGTGTAGTTGCCGCGGTGGACAAAGATGGTGAGAAATAGCACTTACAATTCCCTTTCCAACCCGTTGAGCTTAAGCTAATGTCTTGTGTCAGGAAATTTTCTTTCTTCAAAAGCTTCAGGGTACAGTGGAGTCGGTGTGGAATCTAAGCCGATTAACCTGGATACTACTTTCTGGATTGCTTCTTGCACGAAGCTCATCGGCACCGTCGCAGTGTTACAATGCGTCGAGAGAGGTCAAATTTACCTTGATGAACCGGTTGGGCACGTTCTTCATGAGCTTGCTAACCCTGAGATTATCCATGAAAGAAAGTCTGGCACAGTTGGTAGCCCTTTCAACGTACACCCAACGACAAAGAAGATCACCGCCAGGCAACTCCTTTGTCATACCAGCGGTCTCGCCTATGATATATTCAATCCCACCCTCGCGGCATGGCGTGCCTCGAGAGGGGAATCGCTACAAGGATTCGCTGGGGATGTGACAACTGCACATGCAGTGCCTCTGGTCTTCGAGCCAGGGGAGGGCTGGTCGTATAGTGGGGGTGTTGACGTCAGTATTCACCGAGAGTATTTTCCACCTCTCAACTTCTCCACTGTTTTATTGCACCGCCAATTCCATAGACTTCAGTGGGGCGATGAGGCTAACGGCGCCTATACAGTGGGCTGGCGAAATGGTAGCTCGAGTGAACAACACGACGTTCGGCCACTACGTTCAGCAACATATTTTCGAACCTTTGGGAATGAAGTCGCCGACCTTCCGATTGGAAAATCACCCAGAGACTCTAGCGCGTCTAATGGAGATGACTGAGAGGACGGTAGACGGAGACCTGAAGGAATCTGTGAAGCCGTGGCCAGACAACGCACCGCAGGACTGCGCCGGGATTGGTCTGTATTGCTCGATGTCGGACTACGTAAAGGTCATTGGAGATTTGATCAAAGACAGTCCAATCCTACTAGGGCGCAAGACGATCGAGAAAGAGCTGTTCACGCCGCAGTTAGCTCAGGATTCTCCTTCACTTAAAGGGTTGTGGTCCTCAGCAGACATCTTGGGAGCGATGACCGGGGCCACTGGAGTGAAAAATGGTCTCAATTTTAACGTCGGCGGCTTATACATGGAAGAGGAGGGCACGTTCCTAAAGGAAGGTACGCTTGTGTGGGGAGGTTATCCCAACTTGGTCTGGTTTATGAACCGGAAGCACGGCGTTGCGGCAGTGTACGCCACTCAGCTCTTACCTGCTGGGGACCCGAAGAGCCGGAGCTTGGCGCAACAATTCATGCAAGAAGTATGGCGCATAACCGCACGTTGATATGGAAACTTACACCTGTCGAGATACAATGGAGACTTTAACTTTCAAATTACACTCCAAAGGTGCATTTCAAAAAGTTGGAGCACCGCACCTACCATCTAATGTCTGCTTTAAGAAATTCGGTCAATTGCGCCGCATAGCTACCCTGAGGTTCTGACCTTTCGAGCCTTTTTTATTTTATTTTTTTATTTTCACAGAATAATACTGTAAGCGGGGTATTACGACAAGAAGGGGACTTGGATTGGAGGCCATGGGAATATGGCAAAAGAGTGGGCATGCCAAGAGGATATCTAACTTGGGTAGCAGGATGAAATAAATTCTTGCATTAGACTTGGTTTGGGAGGGGGGAGTGTCTGGGTATTAGGAAATGCGCGTGATATCAGTGGAGACTGTTGTCTGGCCAATAATATTCAATAAACAGCCTACTTCTTTCACTGTGTTTAACAAGGAAACGAAGGAATGAATCCGTTTGTTTATTATTTTCGACCAGGCTGTACTCAAATTTCTGAGACAACCAATTAGTTGGTAGTGGAAAGCATCGTTGAGCCAACTCCCACATAACCGTTGCATATTATCGTTCATCAACATCATTTCTCTCTTCAAAGGGTGTCTTTACAGCGTATCTTTGCCCAGTTGACCACCACTTCTTTCTGTTGCCCGCAGTTCAATTTGTATTCCTTATATTGATTACCGATTCCAGACCCCACATTTTATGTTTTGAGACCCTCACGTTCCTAGGATCATATTTGACCCAGGATCCATGGTGTCAAGAATATACATGAAGCATACGGAACGGATGGAGATATGATCTGCACGGGACTCACGTGGTGTACGTGGGTTCCCCTGAACGCGAGGAAGCTACCTTTCTTTTGCTTCCTCGCGCTACGTCTTGTATCTAGAGTCAACTATAGTTATTCTTAATATCGATTGTTCATCTTGAAACACTATCCACCTCTATGTATACGTGAGACCCTCACAATAGTTCCTAGAGGACCTATAGCTCCTAGAGGACCTATAGCTCCTAGGAGTGGGTGGTATAGCTCCAGGGAACGAGGAAGGGGGTTTCCGAGCTTTAGTGCGTTTAGTAAGATCGGTGCCGGTAGATCACGAATCCCGGCAGCATGACGGCTTCCCGGAATTAACAAATAATTCCTGGAATGTATGAACTTCATTGGATCGCACATCTTGAAGATTCATCTGTTAGTGATCATACGGATCAAGCAGGATAGCTTGTAATATGATGTCTACAATGTATTTTTCAACTCGTCTTCCAGTACTCCTTGTGCAGTTATATGGCATAAACAATCTATTTTGATACAGTATGGGCCAAAGAGCGGCTAAAACCCACCTTCCACTTGAATGTTCCTGGACATAGCATGACAGCCTCTATAGACATTAGAACTGGTACAGTTGTAAAGGCCTAATGAGCTACCTGGCTATTGAAGCCTCTCATATATCGATTCAAGGCCATTGAGGCCCAATGTAAGGAGTTCAGCATCCAAATTTGCCTGTGATCAGATATTACGTGTCCGATGATAGTAAGCTGGAGATGAGCACCTACTGTTCTAGAGATTATGCCAAATAGCCATGGTTAAAAGGCGGTGGCGTAAGAGACAGACGCTGAGATCTAATGGGCACGAGCTGACCCATGAGCCGGAGACTATGGGCCAGCTCGGCCCTTTAGCAATCAACTGGCGACCGGACGGGCTTACTAACCTAGTAGGTCAAGAAGCATGTGGCTACAGTGCTTATTCTGTTAAGATCCGGGTCTTGAGGGCCGAAATTCAGATCGGTGGCTTATTGGACATTGGAAAACCCCCAATTCAATAGAATTCATCAGTGCGAGAGGATCTACAGCTCCTGGAAGTGGATTCGATACCTCCGGGGAACGAGAGCTGGTACTATGGGAGCTTTGTTACTACTTCAGGGAGCAAGCAATAGTGTGCCTGGCAGCATGGAACCTGAGACCAGATATCATCTGGCACTGATTCCAGGCCTCACTGAATCCTTAGATCAAGAAAGTATGTCTTGCGTCTCGTATATGAAGTCCGACTTGTGAGCTTTGTATGAACATGAGCTATGCAGTTACACGACAACGGTAGTTGGCGGTAAAGCACCACATGACCGTTGAGGTCGCGGAATCGTGGTAAATCTTGGATGGATATTGTCCCGTGACCATTTGATTCGTGAGATTATCATCGTGGACAAAAATATAGTGTTTCTTATGATACCACTGGTCTGACGGTGGCTTGATTCATGGGAAGACCCTTTGAGTTGGTGAAGGATCGTGACATTTCTTACGACAGGAATGGCCGTATGTTCTTGCGGTTCGCAAGAGAGTCAGAGCTCGCGGAAACCGTGGATCTTCCTATGATATAAATAATCAGATGGTCGTCTGGTTCGTAAGAGCCTAAAGCGCGCGGAAACCGTGGTGTACATGGTGTACCCTAGGATCTACCTTGTCTAACGATGTGTAGGCTCCCCCGAAAGGTCTTGGATTATAAGAAATCTGTGGTTTCTCCTATGATAGAGATAATCAGAGGACACCCGCCTTCGGGAGAAAATTAGAGATCGCGGAAACCGTAGCTTTTCCTACGGCAAAGAGAATCGGACGATCTTTTGGTTTATGAGACATAAGGGGCGCGTCAACCGCCTAATAAATTGGTTCATTATTGTGCAACCCATGCATGGCCGGTTTTTATAGAATCACCCGAACCACGACGAATACCATGACCTTTCCGCAACCTCTGTACGATACTCCGTAGTGGTATATGTACGTGACTTTGCTGGCATGTAGATTGATTGGCTATTGATGGCTCGGTTGTGGCATCAGCCTCGCTTTTCTAGATAGTTGCGAGATAACAAGCCAGGGCCCACGGCTCCTTTCTATCATAGAACGTGATACTTTAGCCAACGGTGTGGAAAAGTGAATCTGACAAATGAATACAATCACTTCGAGGGGTAAAGTGTGCCAGTTCTTTCGGCTTTCTTGTGATCAACCATTACCACAACTGGTCGCGATGAGTCTGTTGCTGTATATGATCCTTGACTAGTGGGTCTCTATATAGTACAGTTTATCAGTATGAGAGGGGCGAGTTCCGACGCCCTCTTTGAGAGAGGACCGAGAAGTAGAGGACGGAACAGAAAGAAAAATCATTGAAGTCTTACTCGAAACTTTAAGAAGGAAATCCGCCCTGATGTGTGTCCCCAGGCTACACTCGGACTAAGAATCAAAATATCCGAGGTTACTTGTGATATATGAGCCATCATAAGCAAATTTAAGATCATTGAACACTCCAAAGACGACCAGAGTCTGTCGCAGCGTCCGTCTCACTGTATCCCAGAGTGCGACTGTTCCATCATCGGAACCAGATGCTAGTATCTGGCTATTCGGTGAGAATGCCACAGCATATACCCAACCTAGAATGCCCGAATCATTCTGCTGCTCGACGCCACGGTCTAAAACCCATAGTCGGACTGAGCGAAATGAGCCGGATGCTAGGGATCGCTCGTCGGAACAGGACGCCATAGGCGGAATCGAATTTGAATGTCTTGGTATTCTGCAGCTGAATTTCCCCAGTTAGTATCCCAGAACCTGATCGTCTTGTCATGAGAGCAAGATGCTAGCAGCTGGCCATCTGGAATGAGAGGGGTTTTCCCTTCACTCAGAAAGCGGTGAAGTGACAGTTCTCGGTGAAGCTATTCGTTGAAAGCCACTTTTACTAAATCTGTTGATATCTTGATCGCTATTGATTTTCGATTTTCAATCTTGCTATTGTAGCTGTTTTTCATACTTTTAGTGGGCTGGTTTTCGTAGCTGTTTTCTTCCTAGATAGATCTGGGATTATTTCAATTTACGTGGTCCAATCACAAGCCCGTGATCCGGAACCAGTTTCATGTTTCAGTTGATATAATAGAAGTAACCCCACCAATTTAATGTTAGGGCCTGATGCTGGGCAGCATTCTGGGAACATGCGGTACAGAGCTTCGATGAGGAAGAGGGGGCCCCGGGGCCGAGAACCCTGATCGTATCGCCAGCAACGGGTGTGACATTACCTCTAAAACACTTGGCACCTTCGGATTAATTTTTTACTGTGGCCCGAAGCTCCGAGTGTGGCAGACCCACCCGTTGCTGGCTATGTCACATATGCTCTCCCCGGGGCCCCGCACGGAAGACAGAACAAGGCTGATTCATCACACCCAATAGATACAGTGACTGGACATAAGTAATTGCTCCCCCTTGGCCCCACTTCATACACCGCCCAATATTGCCAATACCGCCTTCCTAAATGGATCAGCGATCTAACAAAGAAGGGGTTGGTAATTAGCTTCTGTTCAGCGGGCATGGGATTATTGAGTTGTAAAGCATTTGGAGCATCTCTCAGAGATGATGCCGTATTGCCAGGGCTGGTATACACCTTACCAGTTTAATTACATGAGGTTTATGGCCGGCAGAATGTTATGTAATAAGAAAGGTGTGGGGCTGGGGAGCAATTACTTATGTCCAGTCACTGTATAAGAAATAAATTGCTAACTGTTCTAACTCTCCCTTGTCTTAATCTTGCCAGCCTCTAGTTGCTTTAAAACCTCTCAACTAAAAATCCAAACAGAGCCTTGCCCACTTCATCCGGCTTCTCCATTGGGGACCAATGTCCGGAATCAATAACCTTAACTGTGAGATCTGGTAGCAGGCCGGAATCCTTGCTCTGCTCAATCAGTGCTGGTAAACATACCTCATCACCTGAGCACCCTAAGAAAAAAGCAGGCACGGTAATCTGCGCGCGCTCCGCTGGTAATGTCTTTTCAACATCAAGGTCGAGATTATACGCCATCGCCTTGTAGGCTCCCATCGCGCTTGCCAACCCACCCCCCTCTTGCACGCTTTTGAGCCACTCCTCTTTCCATCCGTTTCCCGGATTTGCGTATTCCTTTAGCTCGATCTTCTCATCGCTTTCTAAAAATCTCCGCATAGCATTCCGCACACAGAAAATATCCCGCATCCAGTGTTCCCGATCGCCATGCATCACCGCCCAGAATCTGTCCAAGTGCTTATCCACAACTAGGGCACCATCATCTGCAAGAAACAGTTCCCAATACGCGTACAGCGGATACCCCGTCTTACTCTCGAACTCTGCATTCATGGCGGCCAGGTCGAAGGGCCGCATCGGTGGCTGATATGCAACGTTCAGCATCCCGACCCCAACGCACAGTTCTGGCTTAAACAGCCAGAAGCGCTATGCCAGCATAGAACCCCAGTCATGTCCGATAACCACAATCTTCTGTACGCCCTCAGCGGCCAGGATCTCGACAAGATCGGAGACGATACCAGAGGATCGGAACAGGGCGGGGTCACTCGGCTTAGAGGTGCCGCCAAAGCCGAGAAGGTCCGGGACGAGTTTGCGGTGGGGAAGGGAGCGTAGATGTGAAACAACTTGATGCCAGAGGTATGCGCTGTCAGGGAAGCCGTGGAGGAAGAGGAGGGTGGGTTCGTCGGCAGAGAGGGGATTGGCAGAGGCGGAGTCGTAGTAAGTGTAAGTTAGGGACCGTGAAGTCGTAAAGGCCTTTTTCCTGTAGTTTTCCATCTTGGAGACTTTCTAGTATCGCTGCTGGTGCTATGAGTGGTGGTTCGAGGATGTGCCGGCCTTGGGACCTTTATATCTTCAGCCCACGGTATCTTCGCTTGGCTGCTTGGCCGAAAATGGCAACTGTCCTCATCAACCCCATCCACACGTGTCCCAACCTGACTAATAGTAGTAAGGATGATTGGAAATCAAATAGTTATGAACAGTGTTGCATATGTCTAACTAGCCAATTTCCTTTTTATGTGTTCTCCCCGCTTACTAAAGAGACATGCCTCCGAAAAGTCCGAAAGTCAAAGTGTTTGCTTCTCATATCGTTGACATAATTTATGGGGCTAAGGAGAAACATGGCCACTAACGACTGTGGCACAATATTCCTCTGTTTAGCCCTCCTCCGGAGTTAACCTGCGGAATTAGTAACTGCATGTGAATAGAATGGCGTTTGAAAGGTATGCATTGTTTGCAACCTACCCGGATTAATGGATAAGGTTTGTACCCCTAAAAGTCCGAAAGTCAAAGTGTTTGCTTGCCCATGTCGCTGACGTAATTTGTGGGGCCAAGGAGAACTTATGGCCGCAGCTACGAAAGTAGACCCGATCCACACGAATCCCAATCTTACTACCAGTAAGTTGATGATTGGAAATCAAGTAATTGATAACAGTAGACCGAGATTGGGATCTCCTTTCGTCCGACGACCAGTAATCCTAAGAGCAATGGCGCGGAGTGAAAGTTAATATTGGTTCCAGTGAAACAAAGAAGCACATATCCAGACTTTGACTAGATTGGTGATGTCCGTACCCGAGCTCTTTGTTAAAATATAACCTCCTATTAACTATAATAGTCCAAGTCTTTCAGCGCCGTAAGGTCATCGACGCCACGGTTATGGTCATCTTAATGAAGTGAGGCTAGCTGAGGTCAGGTCTGGCAATAAAAGGGGCAGCAGTTACGTTCAGCTCAGTGATCGACACATGAGAGAAGATCCAATCCTGTCAGAAATTCTGTACCTTCGGCGGGGCGAGAGTACTTGAAACTCAATGCGGGACAAGGCTTGGTCCTACCGGCTATGGCCGGAATGTTAGAATATCGGGGTTTTAACAACCTACTATCCTGTAGGCTTCAGCGGAAACTGTATCTCCGGCGTGCATTTGCAGTATGTTTCGCAGAGCACACGCGTCAATAAAAAAGCCCAGTCGCTCATCGTTCTCGTGTTTCATACAAACCGGCAAGGTAGTGAGCCACTGTAATCTATTTATATTTCTGAGAAATGGCCCTGGAAATTGTGTAAATGCTTCAAGTCCACTAAAAACAGACTTTGATTGCAGCTCTGACTGTCTCTGTGAAAGTCCTCACGTGCTGGAAATCTGTTCATAGGACTAGCAGGTCCGCCAATTCTAATGGATTACGAAGCTAGTGAGAGACTTATAGCCTGGACATTCGAGACGCTATCTCCAGCACTTATTGTCAACTCATCGGTGAGTTTGATACACCCATTGTATCCTATTCCCAGAACTGATTGGCGTGGCAAAGATCTCCTTGGGCGTTTTCGCGGGTTTGTATTCCGATGCACAGAAAACGAACGACAGGTCCTATTTAGCTCGCCGTCATATCAGGAAGCAGCGGCTACCAGGGCCTTAGAAACGGAAAGCCCTGAGGAAGCGAATCAACAAGGGTCTTCCGTTTGATATCACTGCGTTCATAATTGAAGCACCATCAAACACTGCTGTTGTTAGTCTGGATTAATGGAGCTGTTTCCCTTTCACTCTGAAGGGACTAGAGTCATCCGATCATCCGCAGGTTTTACTTCTCACTCGCCTCAGTCAATTCCGTCCTCGGCAGACGGAATGGCTGAAACTGGCTCTCCCAGCGCAGCCGACGAGCTTCCAGTGAAGCATGCAACTGCAGGGGCTGTCTTTATGGCCCGAGCGCTCCAGGGCTTAATCAGGGCCATGGAACTCGATGGAGAAAGATACGTGAACCCTTGGTCATCTCTGGAACCGATTTTTTCAGGTTCTGGTACAGGTCCAGTCGCTCGCTTCCGGCGATTGTTCCATCCTCTGCTTCAGGTGAGGCGTGGTCGCGATGATTATGACTGTGCAAGTCGACTCTGTCGCGTATTCTTGGAGCACGATCTTGAGCAGCTGGAGAAATCTGGTCTCCTCCGCTTATCCCGTGGCCGTGGCAGAAAATCTGCAGCTCTTACTCTTAGATGCTCACTGGACTTGCGAAGTCCGAACTCTTTAACCTGGCCGGTCACCCACTCCTCAAACGAGACAGTGCCCCTGCCTTTGCGATGTTACATGACGCTCAGGTCTTCGTGAATTCGTTGCCCATGACCGTTCATGAAGTTAGCCATTCATCTCTCCCCTGGGGCACTTCCAAGAAGTGCTCAGATACGCCATCCCCATCGACGTGTGAGAGCTGCGCAATTGGCGCCAACGTGTTTCTAGCCTCTGGGATCGCGGCGTGCGCGATCAAATACGGACCAGTTGCGGTCTCTGCCCCACTGGCTGGTATTCCTGCTCTAGCAGCCTGCATCGCCGCCGCGACGGGGATATGGTATGTTAACCTCATTTCATGCCTTGGAAAATGAGCCGGAGCGAGCCATTTCAAGGGATGCTTCTGAGGCGTGATGATCGTGCCAAGATGAAACAAACAAGCTTTGCTTCCATCTTGTTCCAGTGAAAGAATGGTCTTACCTGCGTACTTATACATGTTGAGGAAAGTGGAGATGAAAATTTGTTTTTTCGTGTCGTGATTTGCTTTTAGTATGGGATTTTCGACTCTACGAGAATCGGGAACTTTCGCCCTGCTGTCCCTCTGACATAAGCGAGGAAACTTCAACAAGCCCTTGCACATTCCACTCTTTTCGTCTTTCTTCAGCTTAATACAATTCGATTCAATACTTCTCGGGTTGGCTCCCCTTGTTCAGTTAGCCCCATTACGCACGAATTCCATACTGGAATCGCTTGCTGCAACAATACAGTATAATATTTACTTATTATGGACCTGCTGTTACAACCAAAGGGAGGTCGGAATAATTCTGTGCTTTCAACGAAGATATCAAGACTGGGGAGGAAAAAGAAGACGATTCTATCTGCTAGTATAGTGCCGATATGTCCCATGATGAGGAGCGCTTTCTCTTATCTTCCAGATCCAGCCAGGTTTGTTCGCGTCGTCAAATAATCCCCTAACTAATCTATCATGCAAACTCGGTCCTCCCATTCGCGTCTAGATCATCACAACTAACGTCAATCTGCTCGTGCTGCACAACGCGCCTAGGAATACGATCGATACCATCCAACGGCGGTGACTGAGTGTCTCTGTCCACTGATATTAATAAACCTACGCTTATATACTTTTCTCCAACTTATCATAGAACCTACTTGCAGGGTAGAAGGCCTGTCAGTCAGGTATGGAAGAAAGTCACAATTCCAATTGTGGCAAGACGGTTTCATGCTATCTACGCACACTTTCCCTCACAATATCTAGCTAAAATAGGCAATTCTTGTCGGAATTACGCAATTGCGGTTCACCGTGGTGAAGACCGCAAGGGACCGCGGTTAACTATGGTGCGGCCTCAACCTCCAAATTGGAGACCGCGCCATGCAGAGGCTGAGGCGGAGCCCTCCTTGCCGGCTGATCTTGCTGAACAGGCAATGGCATTTATTCGGCCAATGGGCAGTAATTGACCACCGCACTCTTGTCCAAATAGCGGCGTCTGTCTCTCACCTGCCACCCTTTTATTGCTTTCTATAACCACTTTAAATGATCAACATAACCAACATTTACCATTTCCGGTTCAATTGTTCAACAGTTGACTTAAAGGCAACCATGAATTTTGTCACGATTTGTCCTGTATCCACCCAATTGGAGATGTAAATGACTCTGTATTTCCATTACCCCTATTTCTCACTATTTATGGGTCCATTCTAGTTACATAAGCTATGCCGACGGATCATCTATAGACCGGTTTCATGCAGTATTCGTAAGGTAATCGCGACAAATTTCATCTGTGTTACTGTTGAGATCACATGATCTGGTTGGTTGGTCATGTGACCCTGGATGGCCCTGAGAGTAGTTAGATAGTCCTCGAGGGGTCGGAGCTTCTCTCATACCCCGTCCGTCTCTCAACCAATAATTCCATCATTTATTGCCCGTTTCTTTCCCTTGTCAAGACTAACCCCGGTGGAATAGTGAATATTGGTCTTGCCGAGAATGTGTGGAACAATAGTTGTCGATACCTCGACACCATCATTCTTAATATCTGTCTAGAGCCTTATACACGCGGAGATGGAAAGATTTATCAACTCTCGCGTAATATTTGACTTGCTTCCTCTACACACTAGTGCCTGACCGAAGCCTTGTACTAAGGCGCCTCAGTGGTCGCAAATCGACGCACATGCATTGACCTACGTAGACGGATTTAGCGGCTTACACAAGCTCAAAGAAGCCATCCGTCATTACCTGAACAGCCATTTTTCCCCTTGGACTGCACTCTGTCCCTCCCATCTTGCCATAACGTCTGGTGTCAGCAATTCTTGACAAGGGAAAGAAACGGTCAATAAATGATGGTTTTATTGACTAAGAGACGGACGGGGAAGGAGAGAAGCTCCAACCCCTGAGGACTATCTGACTACTCTCAGGACCATCCAGGGTCATGTGACCACCCAGGTCACATGATCTCGACAGCAATGCAGTTGAGTGCTGTGCCTGGGTCTTAGCCGACTTTGGCGACTATCTTCTTGTTGGGCGTCTACATTTCAATGCCCTGAAGACGACGTTTGGAACACGGCCAGGGTAAGGCATCCATACCAAATTCCCGATACAGCTGAACTTACTGCTGTATAATTGGAATTCTTGAAGTCACGCTCGCAACAACGGATCCGTTTAGCATGGCCGCAGTCCAGCACTACGAGAAGACATACGCCGAAGCGAAGAGCAAACGCTTTCGTGTCAAAGCACTCCTATTGTGTTCACCACATAATCCGCTCGGTTTATTCCCATAGTTTGCTCTTATAATACCCGACAGATTATTGAATATTCTCCTAGGACGCTGCTAACCCGAAAATGCCCTAAGAGAGTACATAGAGTTCTGTACCAGAAATGGACTTCATCTGAATAAGCAGTGGGTGGCTTCAGATTTGAAATCAACATGGGATCCCCACTTTTTTTCCGTGCTTAGTTGAAGCCGAGAGCGACCGTTAGACTGGGAAATGCAAGAGATTTCGTGCTTTTGCGTGCTTTGACTGGTCGATTTGCTAACTTTCATGGAGTTCTGGGCTTTTTTCCGATCCTTATTTACAATTTGGCGCCCCATTGCCACGTGGAGTCCACATGGTGGCATGGACCGACGGAATAATCCGTAGATACTATCAAGATTAGTTATTCATACGTATATATACAAAGAAAAGAAAGGATTTCATTGGCCTAACCTATATAGCATGACGTAGCGATTTAATTTGGCACCAAAGGAGGTCTCGGGGGTTGAATGCACCACGGATATAGTGAAGGAGCGAACGACCAATCTTACAATAGCGAATGAACTGGGTCTCCACGGCCATTTTTTTAATACAAAGCTTTGAACACTCTAACTCCGAGGCTTATCCCCTTCTAGAACATCTGCGATGTTATATTGCCCCGAGGGTCCTATGACCCCTGTCTCGAGAGGTTCATTCCTAACGTTGTTTTCTCTCATATCACATTTGGGCAGTGTCGCCGCAATATATCCATCTACTTACGTAGGTATTCAGAGCAACCATGAGTCCCCAACCATTTGAATCAACAACAAACACACCTCGCCTTAGCATGGAACACGGTTCCATCGAAGAAGGCGTCACCAACAACACTATTCAAAATAAGAGCGAAACAGATATCGAGAAAGCGGTCGATACCACACAAAAGCCTGATGATTCCAGCGCAGATCCCAACCTTGTCGACTGGAATGGCAAAGATGACCCCGAGAACCCTCAGAACTACAGTAGTCTGCGCAAATGGGCCATCACATTGACGATGTCCTTTATGACCGTGTGGATCACCTTTGCATCCAGCGTCTTTTCGACTGCGACACTTGTGACTGCAAAGGAGTTCAATGTATCCTCTGAAGTAATGGTCCTCGGCACCAGTCTGGTTGTTTTTGGTTTCGCTCTAGGTCCCCTGTGTTGGGCACCACTGAGTGAGCTATACGGTCGTCGCATCCCGCTGTTCTCAGGCTACCTCATCTTCGCTATTTTCCAGATCCCCGTGGCCGTCGCCCAGAACCTCGAAACAATCCTAGTCTGCCGATTTCTCATAGGTGTCTTTGGTTGCTCTCCTTTAGCCGTCGTTGGCGGTGCCCTGGCTGATATTTGGAACCCCGTGGACCGCGCGGTGGCTGTCGCTCTCTTCAGCTCGGCTACTTTTATGGGACCTGTTCTTGGCCCAATTGTGTGAGTACTCCTCAAGATATTTTTGAAAGACATTCTCAAAGCACTATCCAGAAACTAATAATTCTTCAGCGGTGGGTTCCTCACAGATTCATACCTTGGCTGGCGCTGGACCGCATGGATCACGTTAATTGCATCCGCCTTCTTCGGTCTAATTGCTCTCTTCGTCGTTCCTGAGACTTATGGCCCGGTTCTCTTACAAAAGAGAGCTGCCCATCTTCGTATTGAAACCAACAATTCAGGTCTCCATTCCTTCTTGGATCTACATAAACCGACAATGTCAGACATCGTTACAAAGTACCTCTTCCGACCCTTTCAGATGCTCGTGCAAGAGCCGATCCTGGTTGCTATGACTATCTACCTCGCCCTAGTTTACGGAATCCTCTACCTCTTCTTCGAGGCCTACCCAATATCTTTTGGTGAAATTCGCGGTTGGACCCACACAGGCGTAGCTGCCCTCCCATTCATCGCCATTATTATCGGCGTCTTGCTCGGTGCCTGTCTCATCATATACACCACGAAGACTCGTTTTGTGCGCAAACTTGCAAAGCATGGCGAAGTCGTTCCTGAAGAGCGTCTCGTGCCAATGATGATCGCCTCTGTGTTGTTGCCAATCGGTCTGTTCTGGTTTGGCTGGACTTCTAGCCCAAATATCTCCTGGGTGCCACAGGTCATTGCCGGTGTGCCTATTGGTTTGGGTATCCTGGTTATTTTCATGCAGGGTCTCAACTACCTCATTGATGTGTACATGATGTTTGCCAACTCGGCCATCGCGGCAAATACTCTCGTCCGTTCGACCTTGGGTGGCGCGTTCCCGCTCTTCGCTACACAAATGTACCGGAATCTAGGTGTACCGTGGGCATCTAGTGTTCTGGGTTTCATTACTGTGGCTATGATTCCCATTCCTATTTTGTTCTTTATCTATGGGTCCAGAATTCGTGCTATGAGCAAGTTCAGTCCTAAGTTCTAGGCGATTGATCAGCCTGTCTCTCATTTCCAGGCGCGCAATCAATACATAGATCGCATTGGGGGCTTGCTGTTCACATGCATTAGCATGATGGCAGATCTGTGTGGTCAGGTTGCCTTTGACAGAGTAGACCTGTCTCCTGTTTTATGGAAGAATTTACAAGTTTCTGCGCAATATTGTCAGAGCAAGCTAAAACAGTAC